ATAGAAGCGGCAGGCGTCGCCTCTGCCCACCTTCTCTTGTGAGATTCTAGTCGCGGCCACAGGTTCTGCAAAGGGGTCTGGGAAGTGCACTCTAGCGCCCGTCCTGGCTCTTCCTCCCACTACAGTTAAGAGAACGTCGCCCTTACAACTAATTGATCACCACCCACAACCAGTCACAGGTTTTCATGTTCCTTATTCACTCCCGCTGCTTCACTTGACTAAGCCTAAAAAAAAAAAAGACAGTGCTGTCTAATAGAACTTTCTGCAATGTTGGAAATGTTCTAGATCCGTGCTTCCAGTATGATAGCTGCTAGCTACATGTTGCTATTGAGCGCTTGGAATGTGGCTAGTGAGACTGAGAGCTGGATTTCTCATTTTATCTACTTGTAATTAATTTAAATAGCCGCACATGGCTAGTGGGTATGGTATTAGTGCGGCTATAAAGAAAGGAGAGAGTAGATGTTGACTAACAGTGGTCTCTGCCACAGCCATCTACTATTAATAGTTATAGGTGACTGAGCAACTAACTTAATCTCTCTGTGCCTCACTTAAGCTCAATCGTAAATGGGTACAGTAGTATCTCAAGGGTATGGTTGAGGGTATAGTTAAGGTATAGCATCTTCAGGCTGTTGTGACGAGTAAGAGGTGATTCAGGGAAAGCGCTTGGTGGCTGGCGCACGGGATGGCCTGAGGCCAAGGACAGCAGATAGGAAGTGTCCAGGTGTCCAGGGTGCCCTCCAGCCTTCCCTTCAAATGCTTCCCTCTGCTCCAGCCAGGCTATATCGCTTGCTCTTCTCCAAATGCAATTCCACAGCACTCACCTCCTCTAAATCATGCTGTCTATGCCTGATCCGCCCACCCCTTCCTATTGAGATTCTGCATTGCCATCAAGACCTGGTTCAAATGTCACACTTCCAGGAAGCCCGCCTGGTCTTCCCAGGTATGTGTGGTGGCTGCGGTCTGTAAAGGTCCTGGCGCTCCGTGTGCCCCCCCCCACCCCAGGATCGTGCCAAGGGTGCTCATCCAGTTGTCTTGTGCATTTATCTAAGAGCATTTTTTTTTTTTTTTTTTTTTTTTTTTTTACCGGTCTCTCCACTTTCCACTTTACCCAGAAGAATTCTTTGTGTATTTTGGGCAGGCAACAAAGTTGCACTGAGTTGAATTCATGAGGGGCAGAGTTGCAAAGACACATTCCCTGGACAATTAGAGCCAGAGATTGCATCTGCATGGCACCAAATGAAGCAGCCCTTTGGCTATGACCCAGGTCATTAAATCTATGTAGACATCCAAATGGGAAGATTCAGGCCACCTCGTTGGCATGGAGTTTGCAGAATTCTCTTTGACATTTGCACAATTTTTATTCTCCTACATTTCTGTACAGAAATAGTCTTCTAGTTCACATGCCTTTTACCACAGCTCTTTCCTGCTGTCTGTTAGGGTACTCCTAGCAAAATTCCTGACCAGAAACTGCCAAGGAGGGCTGGAACCACTCAGTTTGGCTGTCCAGACACATGTCCAGTGAACTGTATAAAGGCTCAATGATAGCACAGTCGCTTGGGACCCATCCCATGGCATCTGTGGCCCTGGGCAAGCCTGGCAGCGCCACTCAGGACTATCTTATGCCCTTTTTGACATCAAACTCAAAAATCTTAAGGATATACCCCACAAATACCCTAGATTCTCTTAACAGTCCTAATGTTTTCATTAATCAATTTATTTAGACCCTTTCATTTATTCATTCAGCAAGTATTTGTTGTGCTCCTCTTCTCTGCCAGGATTATTCTGGCATTTAGAATGCGAAGCAAACACAATTCCTATTTTCAAAGAGCTTTCATTCCAGTTGGGTGAGAAGAAAATAAACAAATATATGTCAGGTGGCAATAAGCTCTATGAAGAGACAGACGGGATCTGTATCTATCGCTACATAACAAATCACTGCAAAACTTAGTGGCCTTAAAATGACACTTTGTTATTTCTCATGGATCTGTGGCTTGGCTGGGCTCATCGGGGTGGTTCTTCTGGAGCCCTGCCCTGGGCTCGCTCATGAGGTTGTCGTCACCTGGAGGCTCAGCTCGGGCTATAGGGTCGCATGTCTGGGGCTTTGGTGCTGGCTGTTGGCTTGTCCTCTCTCTCCACGTGGCTCTCATGTCTGGCCTAGGCTTTCTTACATGGCGATGGGAACATTCCAAGAGAGCAAAGGCAGAGGCTCTGGGGCCCCTTTTGATTTAGGACCACGTCATGCCGCGTCACTTCCACCTCATTCTGTCGGTCAGTGCCGGTCACAAGACCATCCCAATCTCAAGGCAGATGCCACCTTCTGCAAGCAGAAGCTGCAAAGGATTCGTGGCCACTTTTAATCCACCACACAGGGAAGAGTGAATGGCAAGGTGTGCTAATTTAACTGGAATAGTTAGGGAAGGCCTTTCTGATGGTGTAATATGGACAGAGACCACGATGGAGTGAGGGAGCAAGCCTCCTTTTTATGATACAGATACCTGGGGGGAGAGCATTTTAGGGACATGGAACAGCAAGGACAGTCCCTGAGGCCAGACCAGTGTAATTCTTTGCATTCAAGATCATAAGGCAATATTAGGGCTTTTCGATGGAGATATTTCCAAGTCACTTATGGGAAATCTAGTTCTCCTCGGGCAACAGTGCACAATTCCTGGGCAAGCTGAGCCAAGTGAAAAGGGGAACACCTGATTTTGAAACACTAAGTTGTGAGGATGGATCATTTATGCCAGAGGTCCTCAAACTTTTTAAATGGGGGGCCAGTTCACTGTCCCTCAGACCGTTGGAGGGCCAGGCTATAGTTAAAAAAAAAGAAAACTATGAACAAATTCCTATGCACACTGCACATATCTTATTTCAAAGTCAAAAAATAACAAACGGGCAAAAACACCCGCATGTGGCCCGCAGGCTGCAGTTTGAGGACGCCCGATTTATGCAATTGAAGACCGGAAAGAGGCCGTCTACGTTATAGGGATAACGTAGGACTTATACGTTATAGGATAACGTATAAGTTGAGGCCTCCGCCCTCGACTCTATCAACCTGACTTTCTAGGCGCCTCCTGTAGCCCTGGTGGAACTCCAGGAACTCCACAGTTTGACACTCCTCCCTGCTTCCAACTCTGATACCTCCCGTTTCAGTTAAAGAGCTTTGCACACGCAGCCTGGCCTCGGCTTGGCCACATCCTCCACACAGCCTCTGGGGGCCTCTCTGTGAGCGATCGGGGTTTGACGCACACGAGGAGAAGGTGTCCGAGTCACTAAAGGGTGAAGCAGAGCGGAGCGCAGCAGAAGGGGTTTCGTGCCGTAATTACCCAAGATCTCCAGGGCAGTCTGAGGGTAATCGGGTAATTAGAGTGTGTGCATGTGCGTGTGTGTGCGTGTGTGTGTGTGTGTGTGTGTGTGTGTGTGTGTGTGTGGTAGGGGACAATTACCCGGCTCACTGGCTGCCAGACGCTTGTCACTGCTCCTCTGGCCCTTGGGCTGGGTTCCTGGCTCTACCTGTGGACTATTAAGTGCAATGACCCTGTCATGTGGAGGAGCCCGTCATTATCTCCGTGTTAACATGGCATTTATCCACAAAACCCTGCCAAGTGACTCTGTAATTAAAGGGCCTCCACGTGGTCCCCCTGCTCTGGCCTTGGGCAGCTGTGAAAGCTGCCAGGGCAGGGGTGTCTTTAAGGGGCTGAGGAGCTGGGCTGGGGTCATCCCGGGAGGCTCCAGAAGGACACTGAGCCTGAGTCCTCACTCCCTGTACCCCGTTGCCAAGGCCTGAGAACGCATGCCCGAGCAATAGGGTTTTAGAGGCATCAGGACACCCCCCCCCCAAAGCAGGCACCTTTCCACACGGGGCTAATTCATTGACTACTGAATAAAACGAAAACCAACTTTAAAACTTTGCAAAGTTGATATCTTTTCTGGAAGTCTCTTGTAGTGTTGGTGGAGAGGGATTCCATCACGTGACATGGAGCGAAACCTTCTAACGTCCTCTGTGGCTCCCTTTCCCGTCACTCTACTGTGTCCCTCAAAACTCAAATACCCACCTCGGTCCCTGAGGCTCCTCTGCCTCCGGGGCTTTTTTCTGTTTGTCACAAGCAATTGTAAATCCTTTCCCCTCCTTCCCTTATTCCCCGTCATCATCTCCACAAACGGCCGGACACAGAAGGCCCCTGTGGTCACCGCCGTGGTTGTGGCTGGTGGCCAAGTGGTGCTGCTCTGAGCATCCTCATACAAGTCTCTCCACACCCAGGCACAGGCTGCTCTGCAGGATGGAGTCCCAGACCTGGAGTACCTGGGTACAGACCTTTTAATTTGCAGAGATGCTGTCAAATCGTTTCTAAAAGGTTGTGCATGTTTAAATTCCCACTGAGAGTTTATCAGGACACCCGTTTTCCCACATCCTTGCCGACTTGGGTTGCTACCTCCTTTTTAAAATGGTCTTCATTGTTTTTTGATTTTACATGTGTTATAGGTTCATTGTTTTAAAAAACTGAAAAAAAAAATAAAGATTAGCTGTCATGTCATCACCCAAAGAGAAGAAACACTGTCCATTTTTATACAAAATGACAGCAAAGACCACACAGATAGCCAAGGTAGTCACCCGAGGAACCTTCTGGAATCCCTAGTGCTGGTGGCGAGATATTAAAGATCACCCGATTTTCCCCTGGGCCCCTCCCCTGATGTCTCCAAAGGCGTGAGATACTTTCCCCAGCTGGTGGGGGCTGTTCTGAGGGAGGGGATCCAGCCATGCACACCCCTGACCCCCACTCAGAACAGTTCTGCTGCCAGGAAGGTTCCAAGCCTAAGGATCTGTGGAGCAGGAACGGAGCGCAAACATTCCGGAAATGAATTTCCAGACATTGGCCCCCAGATCCAACTGATCGGAAAACCCATCTCCCCGGCCGGCCCCAGAGCCAAGTTTCCCTGGCTCGGGGACCCCGCCGTGCCCCGTTGCGCCTTTGCTCTAACGCCTGCCCTGCCTTCCGTTTCAGAGACCTGAATTATAACGAGCTGCAGGAGTTTCCCATGGCCGTCCGCACCCTGGGCAGACTGCAGGAGCTGTAAGCGCCTCTGAGGGTTTCTTGTGGGTGTCCTCTCCTCCCGGGGCAGGGGCTGAGCCACCCGGGGCCTCCCTCACGCCCTCACTGCCCGTGGTCCTTGTAAAAGATGTAGCTGCCGCCTTCCCCAGCCCCCAGTGCAGCTCTGAGCAGTCCCAGGCCTCCTTAGCTTGGTTTTGAGCATTTCCTAGGGGTGTGTCAGTGGCAGAAGTGGCCCTGGGCCCTTCCAGCCTGGGAAAACACATGGCGCAAGCCGCGTCCTCTTAGCCGGGGCTGGCACTGTCCCTGCCTCAGTTGGGGTGCATCGAGAGGAGAATGAGAAGAGGAACCGGAGGCTGGTTTACGGGGTCACTCCTCAGCGCCTTGTCCCCAGGGGAACTGAGAAGTTGGCTCCGGCTCCCCGAAGCCAGCGTTTATCACTTTATTTCCGTATTCGCGGAGCACCCCATGAGCCCCGCACGGTGTCTGGTGGTAAACGCTAATGACGGGTTGGAGTGACGTGCCCCCCCCCCCCAGGAGCCTCCAGCCTGGCTGAGGACACAAAGCAACATATGCACAACAGGGAACAGGACAAACAGTGTCCAATTCCAACCATCAATTACGTGGCATTAGCTAACATGATGGTGGGAGTGCAGAGGAAGCTGGAAAGATCACTGCGGGCTAATCCTGTGATTAGCCTTAAAGGATGAATGGGTTTATGGGCAGTGGTGGGGAAGGACAGGCATTTCGGAGGGAGGGACTGTGCCGGCAAAGACCCAGATAGGAAGTCGAGCTGGCAGAGGGTGACCCCGGGAGGGAGGGCGGCCTCGCTGGAGGGGCGCTCCCAGGAAGCAGCAAGAGCTCTGCTGTACGGCTACCGTGGGGGCCACACTAGGGCGCCTGGAGGCTCACGAACAGCCCCAAACTTTGAGGCAGCGCCGCACCTTTATAGCTCAAACGACCGCCTAAAACCTACAGGACCAGCCCCCGGCCACCCACCCGCCCTCATCCAGAAGTGTGAGGGTTTGAATGCCAGATGTAGGTAGCAGATAAGGAAGGCTGGACTGGCCAGCGGGAATGGGCTAGAGGAGAAACTACTGGGAGTCCTGCACTGCCAAAGAGTCATCAAGGTCTGATTTTTTCCTTTTAGCTGGGATATGAGAGAAAGATGAAATTGGGTCAACCAAGACAGCATGGAGGGAGCAGGGTGTGCAAAGGCATCGAGACAGGCAAGATAAAGCATCAGGGAAGATGGAGAAGAGACCTACCTTAGCAGGGGCAAAAAGATATGAGTATGCAGGGGTGTGTGTCCATTCACTCATCCATTTATCCATCCATCCACCCACCCACCCATCCATCCATGCACCATCCATCCATCCACCCACCCACCCACCCATCCATCCACCCTTCCACCCACCCACCCATCATCCATCCATCCATCCACCCACCCATCCATCCTTCCACTCACCCACCCACCATCCACCATCCACCCACCATCCATCCATCCATCCACCTATCCATCCACCCTTCCACCCACTCACCCACCCACCCATCCACCCACCATCCACTCACCCACCCTTCCACCCATCCATCCACCCACCCACCCTTCTACCCATCCATCCACCCCCCACCCATCCACACTCCCATCCATCCACCCATCCATCCACCCACCCCCCCATCCATCCGTCCATCATCCACTGAGAGGAAGCTGGTTGAGCACAGGGCCTCTGTCTTATCAACGTCTGAACCCCTCAGAGCTTGGCCCGACGCTGCATACGATGAGTGAAAGGAAGGAACAAACCGCCTGGGTGGGTGGCACTGGCCGGAGGTGTCTGAGGGTGAATCCCTGAGTGAGAGACCGTGAAGGTGGAAGTCACAGTGGGAGGGACAGCAGGTGGAAGAGAGGGGAGCAGAGGCAGGGACACAAAGAGAAACCAGAAACTTCCGGTGAAAAACAGGATGACGGAAAGGGTCCGGCTCAGCATGGCTGTGTACTTTTGAGTCCAAGATGTTAGTTATTTCGAAATGTTCTTCCCAACTGACCAAGCACGTGATTCCTGGCTTCCAGATGCCAACGCTCGGCGGGGGGCCTCATTCCCCCTTGTGCCATCCACAGTCACTCGGCATCAGACTCTGCACCTTGTCCCTCCTGCTGCCGCTGACACTTCCGTGTTTCTTCCGTTCGGGGCCTTGAGGCCCCGCCAGCCTCCACGTGAGCAGCGTCGCTCGCCCTGGGATCCCCCGGAAGCTCTGTTTTTTCTGCATCCTCCTCCCCTCTCACGAGACCTTGGCTTCCTTTGTGGGGACCCCCCGGGGCTCACGGCACAGGTGCCCAAGGACAGGATTCCCCTGCTGGGACCCGCACCAGCCCATTGCTCCCGAGTTGCTCCCGCAGGCTCCAGCCCCGAGCTCCACCCCGCGCTGCTTCGCACCTGTCAGGGGAGGCTAGGTGTGCTGCTGGGCAGAGAGGAAAACCGCAGGCAGGATTTGAACCTGGAGTCTCCAGGCTGATGTCCCTTATGTCTTGGGGCCTGTCTAGTCCACTGTGCAAAAGCCCCGTGTCTCTCCCTCTCCGCACTTTCCCCCAAGTCCTCACCTCCGCCCGGCCTCGTCTTCCAGGGGTTTCCATAACAACAACATCAAGGCTATCCCGGAAAAGGCCTTCATGGGGAACCCTCTGCTGCAGACGATGTGAGTGCTGCTTTCCTGCCTCCTGGGGCTGACCAGCGTTTAGGGAAAGGGGGCAGAGGCTGGGGGGCAGGAGGGACTTCTCTAGACAGCACCGGGAGGCAGGAGGACGGGGGGGGCTCCTTCCCCTGTGTGTTCCTCCCTGGGCCTACGGGGAACGCAGAGGTCGGCCTTAGTCCCAGCGGAAAGGGCTGAAAAGCTGAATTAGGTGTCTGGACCCTTTTCTTCCAGACACTTTTACGATAACCCGATCCAGTTTGTGGGAAGGTCGGCATTCCAGTACCTGCCTAAACTGCACACGCTGTAAGTCGGCACCGGGAGGCCGCCGCGGCCGGGCTCTTGCTTTCCTCGCTCCTTGCTCTCCCCGGCCTTCCGCCTGCAGACCTGTCGCCTGCAGACCTGTCGCCTGCAGACCTGTCGCCTGCAGACCTGTCGCCTGCAGACCTGTCGCCTGCAGACCTGTCGCCTGCAGGCACGACCGCGCGCGGAAGGCCTGGTCTCCAGGGCTGCGGGCCTCTGCTTTGCTCAGACCTCGTCCCCGATCTGCCTGGGCTCACAGCTCCCTTCACCGCCCTGGCCTGCAGCTGCTCCCCGGGTCTCAGGTGCACGAAGAGGGCCTCTCCACAGTCAAGGGATGCTGCTATCTGGCCTCTGTAGTTTGATGGTACAGCTGCTCGTGGTAGCTGTTCTTTAAACGACCGCAGTAAGGTTTTGGATACTGTGTGGTCGGTTCTGCAGTGGCCTGACAGCAAGATGCTCCTTGCCGTGCTGTCTTTAACCGTCCTCGGCCTGCGGTTGCTCCTCTGGTTCCTTTCTCAGTTTGTTAATTCCCAGCCCACGTCCCACTTCTTCCAAAAGCCCTCATGGGTTTCTCTCAGCGTGCCGTGGCATCATGGTTATACAGCTCACATCTTCAAAGTGCATGCTTCCCTTTCCCGTTCCTTACTGCATTCCATCTTCATCCTCACCCTGCGAGGCAGGTGTTATTGTTCCATTTTACAGATTGAGCATGAGGAGCTTGAGTCCTGCTCAGGCCTGAACCCACAATCTTTAACTTCAGATTCTGGGTTCCTTGCTGGACCCCATGCTGCCTCCTCAGGGTCCTCGACAGCACGCATTCTTTTGTGCTCCTGCCGTGGGCAGGCCCCGGGTGGGTCCATGTCCTCAGTAAGATTGGGGATGGTGGGGAGCGGGGTGCCATCAGTTTGCAGCATTAAAGAGAACAGAGAGGTGCTAATTAAGCCCTAGCAGGTGACAGCTGGGAGGAGCCCCTATCTCAGGCTCTCATAAGCAACTCCCAGCAGCACCCAGCTGGTGCCCGTTAAACAGAGGCGGTCCCGATCCCGTGTTGCTCGCCTGTGTTTTGTTTGCAGGCCGAGGCCTGAGTGCGGAGGGCCCGGCTCTGTCTGGGCGAGGCTGTGCTGAGGCTCCCCCGGGGCCTGAGCGGCTGGTGCGAGGGAGGCTTGGGGGAAGGTGACACTCCTCCAGGAGGTGCAGACCTGAGTGGGGAGAAGGCCGAGGCCGAGAACTCGGAAGCTGCGGAGCTCTGACCCCACCCCAGAGCTCACCGTCTCTGCTTCCAGATCCCTGAACGGCGCCACTGACATCCAGGAGTTCCCGGATCTCAAAGGCACCACCAGCCTGGAGATCCTGTGAGTGGATTCCCTCTCCCTCCTCCTCATCAACCCCCAGCTTCACCCTGCGAACGTGCTCCGGCTCCCTTCCCCTGGAGGGCTGTGCGGAGCCCTTGCTTTCCCCATGTGGCCTGCCTGTAGCTGGCTCAGCGCCAGGGCCCACGGCTACCACCTGCCCACGTGGCGCTGCCTACAGCCAAGGCCAGGGGCGGCCAGCAGGATGAGGGCAGGAGGCTGCTCTTCCCCTCGTTACTACGCTTGGCTATCCTGGGTATGACCACAGAGCTCCTAAGCCGGAGCCATGGGTACCCCGAGGACCTGGGGCGGGGAGGATGCCCGGGAAAACCCACCTCCTGTGCCCGTCTGAAGCTTGATTCCAGCCAAGACGCTCTTGCATTTTCTCCTATTATGTCCTGCGGGGTGGAGGGAGGGAGTAACAGCGCACAGTAGGCCCTCAGCACATTTGAATGAACGAGCGAAACACGCAGGCACCGTAAGTGTCGCCTCCCACAGCACGGAGCGCATTCACGGCATCGCTGGGCCTGGGGCTCGCCTCTGTGCCTGCTTTGTCTCCCCCGATTTGCCGGCATGTGGGAAATTCCCCACGAGGGAAGGAGTAGGTCACGAAAGATGACCTTGGCCTTGGGTCCTTCCTAGGACACCCTGTCCCTAAGCCCGGCCTGCTCTGCAAACTGCCCCAGCTCTGTCTCCCCCAGCCCCTGGCTCGTCCCTTCCTCCCCATCTCTCCTCCCTCCCCTAGGCACAAGGACCAAATCTGTTCTTGGTTCCCATGGTTTGACTGTTTTTTTGTTTTTTTTTCCTGTCTGCTCCGTGCCAATGGCTGTCCCTCCCCTCTAAGGTCCTTGGAGCAGAGCAGATTTTCGTCCCTGTCCTACAGGCCCAGAGCTGTTACAGACCATTATGAGCCACGGGGTGGGCATGGGCTGGCGGTGGGTGTGGATGGGCTGGGGGCGCAGGGACTGCCTGCCACCCGGAGGCCCTGGGCTGCGGCCCTCTTTCTCCGCTCCCCACCCCCAGCTCCTCCAGGCCCAGGGGAGCGTGGCACTCAGATGCCAGGGCCCGCTCCTTTCCATCCCCGCAGCCCACCCCCTGCCCTCTCTCTCCCTCCACTTCTTTCTTTTGTTAGCCCTGTCGTCCCACGACAGTATCAGGCCCAGAGCTGGAGCCGGGTGGCTGGGAATGGCAGGGCCCTGGGCCTGGCGCCAGCTCTGTCTCTGTTCTCCCGGCAGGACGCTGACCCGCGCGGGCATCCGGCTGCTCCCGGCGGGGATGTGCCAACAGCTGCCCAGACTCCGAGTGCTGTAAGTGGCTCGCAAGCATTCCACGGTCCTGGCACTGCGCCCCGCCCCCACGCCCCACAAAAGGCCTCGCCTGCTTCTGTCCCACTTGGTCACATCTCTTCCTGGAGAGAGGCACAGCTTAGGCCCCTGCTGAGGACCTGCCCCAGAGGGACGGGGCTGTCCCCTCTCATTCAAAATAAAAAGACAATGGTCTTTGAAGTAAGAAAGACAGGAGTTTGAGGCCCAGCTCTGCCACTTACTAGCTGTACTAATTTGGACTCACTCTTTAATGTCTCTGAGCTTCGATTTTCTCATCTATAAAATGTAGATAAATTTGTGAAGGCTGAAAAAAATATGTAGAAAGTGCCTAGTCTCTGGAAGGCCAAGGAGGGAGGATTGCTTGAGCTCAGGAGGTCGAGACCAGCCTGAGCAAGAGCGAGACCCCGTCTCTATTAAAGATAGAAAAATTAGCTGGGCATGGTGGCGTGCACCTGTAGTCCCAGCTACTTGGGAGGCTGAGGCAGGAGGATCACTTGAGCCCAAGAGTTTGAAGGCTGCAGTGAGCCACAACAACCCCTTTGCACTCTACCTGGGGTGACAGAGTGAGACTTTGTCTCAAAAAAAAAAAAAAAGCAAGCGCATGGTGCATAATGCCAATAAATGACATTATTACTCTAATTGATACATGGCCTCTGAGGCCTCTGAGGTCAAGGGCAGCTTTTCTCTCTCCTTTGACTCCAGCTTGAATCTGAGGCTCCTCACCAGTGACAGGAGCCCCACCACTGACGATGGGTGGCCGACAGATGGGTGTGGGGAGAGCCCAGACTGGGGGTTCAGAGCGCAGGCTCCAGACTCAGCCGTGCCACTGACTGGCAGAGTGCCCCTGGGAAGTCCTGTCCCATCTCTGGGGCTCAGGGTCCTCATCTGTTAGGTGAAGGGTTGGCCAGACGGTCCCTGGGGCACCTCCAGCTCTCACGCTCCCCGCCAACTCCGTGAACAGTGGTCGCGGGTGCTTGGGCCGGCCTTGCCCGGCGTGCTCTCTGCTGGCCGGCTCAGTGCCCTGCGCCACACTCTGTGCCCCTTTCTTGTCACCATGCCTCTCTTACTTTCTGTTTCCCTTCCACCAGGACCCTCCCAGGGTCCTTCAGGCCATCATGGGATAAGGTAGCCCTACTGGAAAAAGCCAAGTCAGCCCCGTCCAGGCCCAGAGAGGGAGGGGACTTACTTAGCAGGGGGAGAGGCAGAGAGAACTACGGGAAGAAACTGGTACCCTGGTGTGCGGGTGTCAATGGCCACGTCTCTGCAGGGTCCCCACGGCCCTTGGCTGGCTCGCAGGAAAGCACAGCCCTGGCCAGGGACCCCCGCCCTCCCTCGTGTAGCCATCACCTCACCCTGGCCCCGGCCTTTCTCTTTTCTCCAGGGAGCTGTCTCATAACCAAATCGAGGAGCTGCCCAGCCTGCACCGCTGTCAGAAGCTGGAGGAAATGTGAGCCTAGGGGGAGTGGGGGACAGAGGCACGCAGGCCAGCCTCTGGGCAGGTCGCAGGGGAGGGGAGCGGCAAGGGCCAAGCACGCTCTGACCTTGCTTCCTTCTGAGTGTGCTGAACCCAGGGCTTAGGGCTAGGAGCTTGGCGGAGGCCTGCACAAGGCCCCTAGGACTCACGACAGGTGACAGGCACAAGAGCTGGTGCCCCAAGGAGTCTCAGGATGGCTCCTTAGGAGTCAACAACAGCACAAGGTGCAGGAGTGACAAGGGCCAGAGGGTTGGACGAGGGAAGGCTGCAAGGAGCCGGAGGCACCCTGCATTTTACAGCATGCACTCTTGCCTTCCACACCCCCCATAAACACACACACACACACGTGTATATGTATGTGCGCATACGCACACACATGCACAATCATATATGGAAGAACACACATGGGATTCAAATTTCACAAAAGAAAAAAATCACTTTAAAGTTCTCTAAGCTCTGTTCACCCAGCTCCTGTTTCCTCAAGCTATCGTGGCCTCCTGGGCCTCCCCGGGTCTGTCCCCTGCTTCTAGGCAGGGCAATGCCTTTCGGGACCAGGGCGAGGTAGAGGGATGAGGGTCTGTCCTATTTGTCTCGGTGCCAAAGGAAGGAGGGTCTTCGACATGGCCAGGCCCAGGGTCCCTCTCCCATTTGCACAAGCAGAGCCCTTGTGAGCTCTGCTTCCCGGCTCGGCCCAGGCACTCGGCCTGCCCAAGGGCTGGGCGGCGCTCTGCTGCCGGGTGAGGGTCTGGAGGACCCGCGGCGATGGGGAGGTGTGGGGGGCAGTTCAGCTGGGCTGGGAGCCAGGCCCAGTGGGAACACTGGAAGCCGACTCCCTTTTGGGCCACAGGGATGGTTATGTGGCTTTGTCTCCTGACCCACTTACCCAAGGCAACCGGATCCCCTTGTGCTCCCTTTAATTCTGGTGACTTCCTCGGGCTGGGCCCTTTCTTCCCGTGCCAGGAGAAGTGGGGGGCTCTCCTTTCTTCCTCCCAGTGCTCGGGGGGCATGGAGCAGAGCCAGGGGCTGGGCCTGCCGGCTCATCCAGCCTCTCTCGCTGCCCTAGCGGCCTCCAACACAACCGCATCTGGGAAATCGGAGCCGACACCTTCAGCCAGCTGAGCTCCCTGCAGTCGCTGTGAGTACCCCAGCTCCCAGGGGTGGGCTGGGGAGGAGCCGCCAGCCCTCTGCCAGGCATGCCCACAGCCGCGGCGCATGTGGACAGTTCGTGGAGATGGGACATGCGCGTCACCTCCCTGCCCCCAGCACACACACAGGAGGAGAGATGCCTCCCCATCCCGATGGCTTCTCAAGCCACTTCTCCATCTGGTACCCGGAGGGCCATGAGGCGCTGCAGCCAGGCTGCCGTGTCCCTGTTCCCATGGCCATGGCAGGCCAGAAGCTGGGCAGTAGCAGGGCCCTTCCCCAGAAGGCCAAGGCCACTGCTACTGGGGCAGGTCAGATGGGGGGTGTGGGAGGGAGAGCCCACAATGGGAACAACGAGTCCGCCACATGTCCCTGACCCCTCCTGTCACACTCTCTCTGCCCGCAGGGACCTTAGCTGGAATGCCATCCGCTCCATCCACCCTGAGGCCTTCTCAAGCCTGCGCTCCCTGGTCAAGCTGTAAGTGCCCACTGCTCTCTGCTCCAGGGTGCTGGGGACCAGCCGGGACTATAGGCTGGCTGTGGGGGCAGGAGGGCCACCCCAGAACAGGGACATGCGTAAATGTTTGGCCACACACCCTGGGGAGATGGGCCTCAGCCTCATCAATCATTCCGACAGTCCGTTTGACAGCGCCTGGGGCCTGATAAACAGAGCCCCGGCCTCGCGCAGCCCTGGAACCTCATCCGCGCGTGCTCTGCAGCGGCCTGGCAGCCTTGGCAATCCGCCTGCGCCGCTGCCCCGGCCTCCCCGTGCACTGATGGGCGGGACCCTGGAGCTCCTTCCCGCACAGGAGGGGCAGCAGATGTGGGTCTCAGAGAGCTCAGGGGGCCTCTGCCTGAGCACTACTCTAGAGGGCTGCCACTGTGGGGGCAGCAGGGGACCTCAGGCCCTCTAAATTATGTAGGATAGAGGCCGGGCGCGGTGGCTCACGCCTGTAATCCCAGCACTCTGGGAGGCCCAGGCGGGCAGATTGCTTGAGGTCAGGAGTTCAAAACCAGCCTGAGCAAGAGCGAGACGCCGTCTCTACTATAAATAGAAAGAAATTAATTGGCCAACTAATATATATAGAAAAAATTAGTCGGGCATGGTGGCACATGCCTGTAGTCCCAGCTACTTGGGAGGCTGAGGCAGGAGGATCGCTTGAGCCCAGGAGTTTGAGGTTGCTGTGAGCTAGGCTGACGCCAGGGCACTCACTCTAGCCTAGGCAACAAAGCGAGACTCAGTCTCAAAAAAAAAAAATAGGCCAGGCGTGGTGGCTCACGCCTGTAATCCTAGCTCTCTGGGAGGCCGAGGCGGGTGGATTGCTCGAGGTCAGGAGTTCAAAACCAGCCTGAGCAAGAGCAAGACCCCGTCTCTACTATAAATAGAAAGAAATTAATTGGCCAACTAATATATACAAAAAATTAGCCGGGCATGGTGGCGAATGCCTGTAGTCCCAGCTACTTGGGAAGCTGAGGCAGGAGGATTGCTTGAGCCAGGAGTTTGAGGTTGCTGTGAGCTAGGCTGACGCCATGGCACTCACTCACTCTAGCCTGGGCAACAAAGTGAGACTCTGTCTCAAAAAAAAAAAAAAAAAAAAAAATATATATATATATATGTAGGATAGAAACAGTGAGCGAGCCGTGCTGGGTCCGTGGTCATTATGTCAGGGCTGGAGGGGGCCTCTGATGGGGCCACCATGTACTGTGTAGCAGGGTATTCACTGCACATGGGCTCCTGCCCAAGGGGAGCTGACATACTGTCTCGGGCTTGCCAAGCTATGCGTCCTAAAGGCATGTCCACCCAGACGGGGCCTTTTTCTGGTTAACACGAAGACTTCTTTGGGCTCGCTCCAGCCCCGGCCTCGGAGGTCATCCAGCCCCACCCCCCTCACTCCACAGGTGAGGCTTCCGAGGCCCGGACGGAGAAGCGTGTTCAAAGCCAAGGGCCAGAACCTGGGGCTCCCGGCAACACGCGGTTCCTCCCCAGGCTGCGGCTCCCTGGGCTTCGGGCCGTGGCCTTGCAAAACTCCCGCCTCCGTCTTCCCTCTCCTGTCTGCACTGCTGCTGCCAGATAGGTAGAGTAGATATTTTTATCCCTTTGGAAGATGAGGACATTGAAACGCAGGCAGATCTGCGACTCCCCTTGGTTACACAGTGAGCTGGTGACAGCGCCAGGTTTCCTGCCTGCCAGTCCAGGGCTGTTTCCACGACGCACAGTCTGAGGTCGGGGTGTTTGCTTTGGAGCCCCGGCTTCCTCTGCCGTGTCTCCGGTGGGAGCCCACGTGTGTCCTCACCTCTGGCTACAAAGCTGGCGCAGGGAGATGGAAGGGATGACCCAATCCCCGCAGTAGCCAGGCCACCAGCTCGTCCAGTCCCAGACCCTGGGCCACTTTCGTATCCTCAGCAAAGCTGGAGGAGAGGCAGGGCAATGGGGACAAACAACAACATGAAACACCGAGCACGGTGCCTCACGCCTGTAATCCTGGCACTCTGGGAGGCCGAGGCGGGCGGATCGCTCAAGGTCAGGAGTTCGAGACCAGCCTGGGCAAGAGCAAGGCCCCATCTCTACTATAAATAGAAATTAATTTGGCTAACTAAAAATATATAGAAAAAATTAGCCGGGCATGGTGGCGCATGCCTGTAGTCCCAGCTACTCGGGAGGCTGAGGCAGGAGGATCGCTTGACTCCAAGAGTTGGAGGTTGCTGTGAGCTAGGCTGACGCCACGGCAGTCTAGCCCGGGCAACAGAGTGAGACTCTGTCTCAAAAAAAACAAAAACAACAGGAAGGTCTCCCAGGGATTCCTGGATGGCCCCCAGGCCTGGGCACAGCAGCTGTGGTCAGGGAGCTCTGCTACCTACAGATCGGGACAGCTTGGCATTCAGTTAGAACAGTCCCTGGTACATCATTGGCACCCAGTGTTTGCTGAATGAATGAATGCCGAATGGACAAATGAATGAACTAGCTGTAGATGATGCCTCTAGTAACTCTCGGTTGCCCTCCTTGCCCGGCATTCAGTGCTGTCCTCTGAGCTGATCTGTCCTTTGCTCCTGTCCTCTTGCTGCCATCCTAGGCACACTGGCCACACCCCAGCACAGCCCTGTCCCCTCAGCAGTCCCACCGACTGCTAATAACCCTGACCGCCCACTGTCCTAGGGACCTGACAGACAACCAGCTGACCACGCTGCCCCTGGCCGGACTCGGGGGCCTGATGCATCTGAAGCTCAGAGGGAACCTGGCTCTATCTCAGGCCTTCTCCAAGGACAGTTTCCCCAAGCTGAGGTGAGGGCCTGGCTTTGCCCCACACCCAGGCAGGTTTGCTGTGGGGCGGCGGGACGAGGGGGACAGGGAGAAGCCACAGGGCCTCACGCTGAGCAGAGCCTGGTGGCTGAGGGTCTGGCCAGGCGTGAATGGGAAGGGCTCATCCGACCTCCTACCAGCCCAGACGGGGTCTGGTGCATGCCTCCTCTTCCTCCTCCTCCTCTCTGTGGCGTCTCCCCCATCCCAAGTGCCGACCCCACGGCACGCGGGGACCTGCGAGGGCAGAAGCAGGAGGCCGTGAAGCCCCTGGAGCTGGTTCCACGCCCAGCTCGCCCGTCCTCACGCGGGCAGCATCTGGCCCCTGGAACGAGGCAGAGCCCAGGGCACTGACGGCGGAAAGCAAGCCGCACAGCCAGTCCCGGCGCTAATGACATCCAGGCCTCCTCCGCGCAGCAGTGGCAGCACAGCCTGTGTGGCCTGGGCCTTGTCTGCTTGGAGCTGAGGAGTGGCCCCAAGGCATTTGCCCTCAGAGGCACCAAACCCAGCTCTGATATGCTGGGGGGGAGGGGGAACAGGGCGTGGGTCTCCCCGAGGGCCAGGACAAAGAGTCACCAAAAGAATTCCTGTCTCCTTAAATATAAAAAGAGGAATTGCCGCCTGGGACGGGGAGCAGAGCACTGCGTGGCCCTGGGGAAGTGCCCCCCGCTCTGAGCCTGCTAAGGGGACCCCTTAAACAACAGGCAGAAAGTTCCTGTCCCCACCTCAGTCCTCGAGAAATGAGGCAAAGACTGGACTATGTCCACACCCTTCGGAGTCCGGAGTCAGGAGTCCAGAGTCAGGCTGTGAGACGTTTACAAAGCACACCCGGGGGCTGCCGGCACAGTGGCCGGGGCGCTTGGGGGCCGAAGGGCAGGCGCTGAGTGCCTGGGGACCTCCTAACTCCAACTGAGGTCTTCGGCCCTGGCCGTGCTGAGGCAGCCATCTGTCCCCGTCCCCAGGGTCCTGGAGGTGCCCTATGCCTACCAGTGCTGCGCCTACAGCCTGTGCGCCGGCTTCTTCAAGGCCTCTGGGCCGTGGGAGGCCGAGGACTTTCACCTTGAGGATGAGGAGGCTCCAAAGAGGCCCCTGGGGCTCCTCGCTGGACAAGCAGAGACCCACTGTGAGTGACGGGCGGGACTGGGAGGACGGGGGCTGCGGGGAGGAAGTCAGAGGGGAGGCTGGAGGGGCCTGAGTCGGGATCGGACGGCCGGACGGCCGAGGCGGGAAGTCCCTGGGGACAGGGGGCTGCGTGTGACCTGGGAGGAAAGTCTCCCTGTTTGTACCTCGTCTCTCCACGGCTACGCCCAGGGGTGCTCGGGGAAACGTACGCATGTAAGGATGGTGACAGAGGCACCCACGATGTCTCAGCCTGTGCCTGGCCCTTTGCAGGTCTCGAGGCGCCTCCCACGCACCACCTCACTTAATATCCCTGCCCTGGTGGCTCCGTCGTCTGCTCCTTCAACCTAGGGGAGGTCTCAGAGAAGACAGACCCATTATTCCCTCAGTCTGAGCCAAGCAGGGTTGAATTAAATCAATTGCATTAAACCTGCTTCCAGAAAAGTAAACTAATAAAATCCCCTCATAGCATGTCCTAAAACGAAAAGGAACAGGGTAGGGATTATTGCTGCCCGAGTCCAGCCTAGGTACCTTGTGTCCCCCATGAGTCTGACAGTGACACTCCCGTGGCCACTAGGAGCGAGATTGCCGCGCCAAGGAGGGCCATGGCAGTGCGGCTGTCTTGGGCCAGAGCCGTCTGTTTCTGGCAGAGCTGGAATAAAAGGCAAAGCGGGAGGAAAGTGGGCAGGGGTGTTCCGGGGAGTCACCTACTAAGGGGTGTCCTAGAGAAAGAGCAGAGAGCAGGGCTTCCCTCTCCCCCACCTCCTGCCACAGAACACAACAGAAGGAGGAGGGAGAGAAAAAGGGCCCCTGCTCTTTTCTTTTTCCATCTCTCGCTCCCTCTCTACAACATCTTGATGGAGAAGCTAAACAGCAAAAAAATCAAATTGAAACATGGAAGAAAGGCCGGGCGCGGTGGCTCACGCCTGTGACCCTAGCACTCTGGGAGGCTGAGGCGGGTGGATTGCTCAAGGTCAGGAGTTCGAAACCAGCCTGAGCAAGAGTGAGACCTTGTCTCTACTAAAAAAAATTGAAAGAAGTTATTGGCCAACTAAAAATATATAGAAAAATTCAGCCGGGCATGGTGGCGCATGCCTGTAGTCCCAGCTACTCGGAAGGCTGAGGCAGGAGAATCGCTTGAGCCCAGGAGTCTGAGGTTGCTGTGAGCTAGGCTGACACCACAGCACTCTAGCCTGGGCAACAGAGTGAGACTGTCTCAAAAAAAAAAAAAGAAAGAAAGAAAGAAAAGAAAGAAACATGTAAGAAAAATATCTCAACGAGTGCACTGTAGACAGAACCGGAGTCCAAACCCAGCTACAGCAGTCACCAGTCGGGCTGCCTTCGACCAGTCCTGCAAGCTTACTGAGCCTCAGTTGCCTTATTTTTAAATGACAGAGGCCATGCAGATCTCACAGGCTGTCGGGGAAGAGTAAAAGGTTCCACGAACGGCAGAGTATGTTCCTCACCGCCACCCCTACAACCGCTCCCACCGCTGAGACGGGCCTTGTGGCGTACACGTGTCGGGGAGCATAGCTGCAGAGTCAGGACACGGATCATGGGCGCCACGTGCTGGGCGGGCAGTCGGGGTTCTCTGCGGGGTCCCTGCCAGTGTCCCCAGGCACCTCCCCGGGGAGGGCACGGGACCCGATGCGGAGGAGCGGGCAGCCAGGCTGGCTCTGGGCCGGCAGACGGCTGTCCCCGGGGGACATTCCCGGATGTCTGCTGCACACTCCCTCAGGGGACTGGAAGGAGGAATGGAAACTTTCCTTCCTCAAGGTGAAACTTTCCACCGGGCTCAGGTCTTGGAGAACCACGGGGCGTCGCGATCTTGGGCCGCCTGCCGCCTGTAACGGGAGCTGGGGCAGGGCCCCCCACTTCCTGTGGGAGCTAATGAGCCTCCAGAAGGAAAGCCGGGAGCCGCTGCTCCAGCCAGATTCGATTTCCTCCCCGTTTGAAGAGTGGTTACTTAACACCTTGGCTGTGACTTCCCTGGCCTCAGACAGAGTCCCCGGCTTCGCCCCTTGTGTTCCATTCATGCATTTGGATTTCAAAGAACGGCTGAGCTCCATTCTGGAGAGCAGCAGTGTCAGGCTGGAACGAAAGGTGGAGAGGGAAGGAAATGCCAGGGCGCTGTGGGCACACCCAGCCTCCTACCCGCCCTGCCGGGGTCCGGGCCAGAGGCAGCTCCGAGGTCTTCCTGCCTCCTGGTAGAGCTCCCAGCTGAAGGTGTTTACTCTGTAAGTGGGGAGGAAGGACCCACACAGGAAACAGCCCTGGTGAGCCAAAGACGGGGACAAGTGCAACAAACAGAGTCGCCTAGCCATGAACTTGCTGGTGCGAGGGCGGAGGAGCCCACAGGGGCTGTCTCTTAAACCCGGGCAACACACAGGCAGCGCTTAAAGACGGGCCACTCTCTCCTGCCACCCAGGTCCCCAGACCCCTTTTCCAGTCTGACTTGAGAAACTTGAGCCTTAGTCTTTACAAACTCTTTCAGTGATGGAGTGTCACTGCAAAAGATAGTTTTGTCTTTATAGGTCATAAAATATTTTAGATTATCATTTCAAAATTCTTACAGAATTTATGGTCCCCCCGGATGTCCATAACACGTTGGTGCTCCCAGGCCCTAGTTTAAGAAACATCGCAATAGTGGAGAAGAAAAAAAAGAGAATTGTACGGCCTAGACTCATTTGCTCGTTCTTAGAACTGGAAGGAACATTAAAGATTAGCAGGTTCGCCTCTGACTCGGTGCAGAAATGCCTTCTCTCACCTTGGGGACTTTCTGCTTCAGTATCCATAATGACAAATTATGTCCAGCTCATACATCCATAAATCTCCCCCAAACCTCCCCATCCTGTAACCCCCCAAAATAATCAGTCCTTCGCCTGGGAAAGCAAAATGATTAAACATCTGGGCTCTGTACTCAGCCCTGCGTTTGGATTCTGGTCTGTCTCAGTGAGACCTGGGGCAAGCCACTGGACTTCAACGAGCCTCAGTTTCCTTATCTGTCACCTGCCTCATGCCGTTGTTGTGAAAGCCAGTGAGACCGTGAAGATGAGGACTCACTGAACACAGTGCCTATCACGGAGAAAGAACTCAAGAAATGTTAACCCTTTCTATTAGCTTAAAAAAATTGTGTTGACACGTGATAGATGTACATATTTTTGGAGGTACATGTGATAATTTAATACATTCGCATAATATGTAAAGATCAAATCAGGAAAATTTGGATATCTATCACTTTAAATACTTATCTCTTTTTTATGCTGGAAACATTTGAATTATTCTAGGTGGTAAGTTTATTAGTTGATGCAGCGCATTATATAGCATGACAATTTGTTTCCTTAAATCTATTAGTTGGTGCAGTGCATTGAGCCCCGACAGTTTGTTTCCTCATTAGTCTCCATAGCTCCTTGCGAGCAGGGTCACCTCTTATTCATCCCCGAGTTCCTCTGCGTCTGCCCAGGGCCCACCTGCCTTCAGCACACGTGGGCCTCTCACGCACCCGTGGAAGATGGGGTGTTCCTTTCTTGGGCAGATCTAATTGTGAGAATTTTTTGTTGTTAGGAAGAACTAGAATGTCTCCATCTGAATCTACATTCCACCCGTTGATCCTGGTTCTACCTTCTGGACAAAACAGCACGTAGGGCCAGGCGCGGTGGCTCACACCTGTAATCCTAGCACTCTGGGAGGCCAAGGCGGGCAGATTGCTCGAGGTCAGGAGTTCGAAACCAGCCTGAGCAAGAGCGAGACCCCGTCTCTACTATAAAAATAGAAAGAAATTAATTGGCCAAGTAATATATATACAGAAAAAATCATACGGGCATGGTGGCGAATGCCTGTAGTCCCAGCTACTCAGGAGGCTGAGGCAGGAGGATCGCTTGAGCCCAGGAGTCTGAGGTTGCTGTGAGCTAGGCTGACGCCAGGGCACTCACTTTAGCCTGGGCAACAGAGTGAGACTCTGTCTAAAAAAAAAAAAAAAAAAACAGCATGTAGGAGTCTAATTCCTTTGTGCCTAACAGGCCCCCAGCGCTTTGAAGACGGCCATTATATCCCCACTTTCTCCTGCGTCCTCCAAGTTAAACACCCCCCCCAGTTGCTGTGACTGCTTGTCATGCGAATGGCTCCTGCTCCCTCACCGTCCATGGCTCACTCTGAACACACCCCACCCTACCAATGTCCTTCGTCACGTGTGGCGTTAGTGGGTACGGAATCACAGCGACAGTCTGGCCACAGTGGAGAACGCTGTGATCGCCAGCTCCCATTATGAAGGCAGCCACTGCCAAACTATCAGCAGCACCTGTGGGGCTGGAGAGGGCATGAGAGTAATAGAAAGAGCAGGTCTAGGTTAAACGTTCTAGAACCAGCAACACAGATAAGCCATGTGTGGGTAACAGGGAGCTGCCCAGATGTTTTCCCGCAAGGGTAGACATGGGTGTGCAGGGCTGCCGGACCAGCGCTGAGCAGTCAGCCGGGGACAACTGCTTAAAGGGGTGGGCGTTTGGAGAAAGGAGAGGCTTGATTGACACCACGACCCAGGGTCCGGGGCCACTTTCTTGTCTCTCCTCTCAGATGACCTGGACCTGGATGAGCTCCAGCTGGAAATGGAGGACTCAAAGCCACACCCCAGTGTCCAGTGTAGCCCCATTCCAGGTGAGATGGGTACCTGGGGAACTGAGGAAGGCAGGTGCGGCGAAGGGGCACCCAACCATCCAGATGAGACGCCAGTTGAGCCTGGCATGTCTGCAGCCGTGCCTCAGACGCTTCCTCTGCCTGACACCCAACCTGCTACAGGAGAGTCTCTTTTTGTAATTCCTGGGGAAGGAGATGCAGTTCTTTCCCGGGGTTGGCTGCTTGGGGGGAGTAGCATGGTGGCGGGGGGGGGGGGGGGGGGCCAGCAATCTTTACAAATCAGCCAATTAGTGGTCATGTAGCCAGGAGAACACGGCTCTCGTTAAGGAGAGAAGCAGGGAAGAATGCCTTCACCCCATTGCTCAGGGTGGCATGTTTGACTGCTTTTGAGTTCTTCGTCATTCCGAGATCCATACCACAGAATCCTACAGCCAGGTGGAACTCTGAAAGGTCACTTTCTCCATCCCAGGAGGATTACAGTCTTTCTTCCTTAAAACTCTCCAGGGTGGAAAAACTCCCCAGTATCCCTGGGAAACTCCTTGCAGTACTGTCTAACCCTTGCAGCTGAGGAAGCCTCCTTCAGGGTCTAACCTAAATCCATCTTGCTGGAAGGAAAGAGAAAAAGAAAGAAAAGAAAGAAAATTCCCTTTCTCCTTGGTGCAGTTCAACCAAAGATGTTTAGAGTGAAGAAGTCCCTTTCTGTGCATATAAAATGCTAACAGGCCACCCAGAAGGCAGCAGCAATGCTAAGTAGGCCAGGAGAGGAACTGCTCGGAAGAACAAAAAGTGATAAACAGTTTGCTTCTTCTATTGCATCTCACCTCCATTTTCCAGTTTCCATCTTTCTTTGGCTCTGGCCCCTTGGCCTTCTCCCCTTACCCTTTCCAATGCCTGCAGTGTCTGCCTGACCTTGCCTGGCATCAACTGTCAGCTCTCAGTGGCAGCAGCACGCCCCCTAGTGCCAGCCTGAGGCCGAGCACCAGCCCAACCTGGGGGAAGCAGGTCCCCCAGGTTTTTTTGAGTTGGAAACCCACCCACGTGCTTCACGCACACTGCCCCAGAACTGTCACCTCTGAAAACCAGCACTCAACAGGGGTGAAGTAAAAGAGGAAGTTCCAACTGAGGTAAAAGACAAGGTCCAACTTGGGCTTCCTTCTGAAATAGCTGGTACAAAATGGTCAACTAATTATGGTACATCCATATAGTAGAGTATTTATTACACAGCCATTGGAAATATGTTTTGGAGGAATACAAGGACATGGGAAAGTCTGCATAATAAAAGTTTAACTTAAAGAGAATGAAAAAGCTATATGCATTTGTCAGTCTGTTTTGTGCTGCTGTAAGAGAATACCCTGGGTAATTTATTTTAAAAAAGAGGTTTATTGATCTCACAATTCTTCTGGGGGCTGGAAGGCTGGAGATTGGGCAGCTGCATCTGGTGAGGGCCTCAGGCTGCTTCTACTCATGGCAGAAATCGGAAAGGGAGCAAGTGTGTGCAAAGAGATCACATGGTAAGAGAGGAAGCCAGACTCTCTTTAGCAACCCGCGTCCTCCCTCTAGAGCCCAGCCCACAGGGGGGCACTAATCTATTCACAAGGGACCCGCCCCATGACCCAAATACGCACTGGGCCCCACCTCCAACAGTGCCACACGGGTGTCAGCGGAGACAGGCCACATCCAGACTGTAGCAATAGTAAAATCCCAATTTATTTTAAAAACCTACAGGTATATATCGATTTTTTAAATGAGAAGAAAATATACCAAATTAATGAGTTCTCACTGAGAGAGAGGTACATAAGCAGTTTTAATTTTACCATGTTATAATTTCAAATTTTCTACAATTGTCATCTATTATTTGGTAATCAGGGAAAAAAAGTTTTAAAAGTAGCTTCCACAAAAGCCTCTCAGATTCCCAAGCTACTTAGCAATCCACTGAAGAACAAGAATTTAAAACCAAAGGAAATATTTAATAAAAACGAATATACCCAAAGGTACAAGGTGATTTCAGAGCAGACTCTGGGGAGGGAGGTGGGAAACGCCAGGATCTCCCATCTAGAGTGCAGCCAAGCTGGGAAACCCCAAAGTCACCTGCGTTTTGATTGACCTTGGTACACTTTGCCCCCCCAAATCCAGACTGACAGATGGATATCAAATGTGGTCTGCACCCCTCCCGCAGAGCCGGGGAGAGCCGGGCACGTGTGATGTCTGGCCGGGCTCATCCGCGGTGGGGTCCTTAGTGGGTCACTGGGCACTGACTGGCAGAAAACAGAGGCTCAGCCAGAGTGGTCACTGTGTGGGCAGTGGGGTCCCTCTGGGGTCCCGGCCCCACTTGTATCCCCAACTCTGATGCCCTCTCCACTGCCTTATGCCATCCTGTCTCTTCCTTTTCCTTCCCAAACGCTACTTCTTTGGAAAGACTGCTTTACTTAACATCTTCTCAGTGCCTGGGTTTGCACTGTGTCCATCTGTCCTGTGTAAGTCTGCACGCGTTTCTGCTTTCTGTGTGCACCGGAGGGTGGCGTCCCCCCATTTGCAGCGCATGGGAAGAAGAGCGCGTCCCACTGTTGCCACCCCCAAATGGGCTTTCTCTGAGGAAGGAGAACAGGTCCCTCTCGCTCCTCTCGAGAGTCCTGCGAGGGCAGACTGTGCTCCTCTCCTTTTGACTGCAAGTTCTCTGAGGACGGCGGCTAGCCTTGTCCCCAGGACCTGGTCCCAACAGCCTCTGGCCCCGGGGCGACGTCTGGCCTTCTCTCTCCTACAGGCCCCTTCAAGCCCTGCGAGCACCTGTTTGAAAGCTGGGGCATCCGCCTGGCGGTGTGGGCCATCGTGCTGCTCTCCGTGCTCTGCAACGGGCTGGTGCTGCTGACCGTGTTTGCGGGGGGCCCTGTGCCCCTGCCCCCCGTCAAGTTCGTGGTGGGCGCGATCGCGGGCGCCAACACGCTGACCGGAATCTCCTGCGGCCTCCTGGCCTCCGTGGACGCCCTGACCTTCGGCCAGTTCGCCGAGTACGGCGCGCGCTGGGAGACGGGGCTGGGCTGCAGGGCCACCGGCTTCCTGGCGGTGCTGGGGTCCGAGGCGTCCGTGCTGCTGCTCACGCTGGCCGCCGTGCAGTGCAGCGTGGCCGTCTCGTGCGTGCGGGCCTACGGGAAGGCGCCGTCCCTGGGCAGCGTGCGGGCAGGGGCGCTGGGCTGCCTGGCGCTGGCGGGGCTGGCCGCCGCGCTGCCGCTCGCCTCGGTGGGCGAGTACGGGGCCTCCCCGCTCTGCCTGCCCTACGCCCCGCCCGACGGCCAGCCCGCCGCCCTGGGCTTCGCCGCGGCCCTGGTGATGATGAACTCCTTCTGCTTCCTGGTGGTGGCCGGCGCCTACACCAAGCTCTACTGCGACCTGCCGCGCGGCGACCTGGAGGCCGTGTGGGACTGCGCCATGGTGAGGCACGTGGCCTGGCTCATCTTCGCCGACGGGCTCCTCTACTGCCCCGTGGCCTTCCTCAGCTTCGCCTCCATGCTGGGCCTCTTCCCGGTCACGCCGGAGGCCGTCAAGTCCGTCCTGCTCGTGGTGCTGCCGCTGCCCGCCTGCCTCAACCCGCTGCTCTACCTGCTCTTCAACCCCCACTTCCGCGACGACCTGCGGCGCCTCTGGCCGCACCCGGGCGCCGCGGGGCCCCTGGCCCACGCTGCAGCCGGCGAGCTGGAGAAGAGCTCCTGCGATTCCACCCAGGCCCTGGTGGCCTTCTCTGACGTGGATCTCATTCTGGAAGCTTCTGAGGCCGGACGGCCCCCGGGGCTGGAGACCTATGGCTTCCCCCCAGTGACCCTCATCTGCCAGCAGCCCGGGGCCCTCAGGCCGGAGGGCAGCCGTTTCGTAGAGCCAGAGGGGACCCACTTTGGGAGCCCACAGCCCTCCGTGGACGGAGAACTGCTGCTGAGGGCGGAGGGGGCCACGTCGGCAGGTGGAGGCTCGTCAGTGGGCGGGGGCTTCCGGCCTTCCAGCTCAGCCTTTGCCTCGCACTTATAAATGTCCCTCCCCATTCTCCTCTTCCCACCTCTTCCCTTCGCTCTGTCCTCCTCCACTCTGTGAATGATGGCTGCTTATAAATAAATACAACCAAAATTCAACAGTGTGATCCGTGGCAGGGTGGCCCGATCCCTGGCTCCACTGGCTCCTGTCCCCTGTGACCATCACCAGTGAGCCCGTGTCAGCTTCACCTTCATTCTGGGCCTCTTCCCTGTCTGTCTGCAGCTGTGGACCAGAGACCCGGAAGTCTGTCTACTCAAGGGAAGTAAAAGACCATGGAAGGTTTGGGGGGCTGAGCAGGCCCAGGGGCAGGGCACAATGGCAGGGAGACCTCACAGAGAAAGGCCTGGAAGGGGGCACCAAAGGCACTTAGGCGTCTCCCCTGTGACTCATGGAAATGATACAGTGTGTTGTGTTCCATTAATCTTGACATATGCTATGCAAAAAGACTTCTATTAAAATAAGTTTTGGAAGAGATTATATATTAATATCATGTCCATTTCTTAGAGAGTCACAGTACATGTTAGTAAAGACCCTGAGAATTCCTGCAGTAGTAAAATCTATTGAACTTTGTTTAACCCAGTTCCCCAAATTATTTGCCAGCAGGTTTTTGTTTGCTTGTGTGGTTTTCGTGGACTACCTATTGACATCACAGCACTTAGCTCTGTTCTTGCCCTGGAAGCTCATCTCTGTACCACCCAGTGCTACCCAGTGACGTCACAAAAATGCCACTACTTCTTGAAAGTCCTATTGTAAGAGTTCAAGCAGGGGTGAAGTGCCAGAGGCAACTGATGATTCCATCAACCAGGAGAGAATCTCAATACTCCCCCCCTCTTATCCCACCCTAGAGAGGATGGGAGGGTGGGAGCCCTGGATCCCGGCAGGATACACGCAGGGAAGTCTGCGGATATTCCCTCTGGCTCTGAGTTGCCTGCCTATGGCTCTCCATCAGATGCCCCCTGCCACCTCCTGCCACAAGCTGGGTCCCGCCTTCTCATCGCATGTCCTGCCTACTCTGTGGGACAGGGAGCCCTTAGCAAAGAGGAGAGATATTTTCATTTGTAGGTATTGCATTTAGGAAGCATTGGAGGTATCTGAGACCCCTGAGTGCCCTCAGATAGGCCACTGACCCTTCTGCCTCTACCCTCCTTGACCTTTCTACCAGATGCCCCTGAGTGTTTCCAGAGTGCTCCATCCCCCACCCAGCCCCAAACACACACACATTCAATCTCAGCGTAAGGAGGTGAGAGCTAGGGCACCCTGGCAGACATAAAAAGAGAATCCGAGACTCAGGAAAGGGCAAGACTTGTTCCAGAGCACCCCGACATCAGCCACTTCAGGAGGACAGGAGTCTATCATAGAATCCTGAGACCAAAGGGAACACAGTCCTCCTGCTGAATCCTGGCGTGGTCTTCGGCCAGCTCTACCCCCAGGGGCTACTACCCCAAGAAAGCCCTTCTTCTAGTCTCCTAGTTCCAGTTTCTGAAACTTAGTTTCTCTGCTATCTCCCTGCTGCCCCCAACGCCTAGTGGAAATTTGGACATAGGTCAACATGTCTTGGGTACAGACATGAGGCAGGGACCATGGATGGAACTTAGCATATTTCTAAATCTTGTCTGACTCATTGAGTTGCCACAACTGTAACAGGCTCTGAAGCTGAATGTGCTAGCCTTGTAATCCCAGAAGAAACTTAGGGTCCCAGCATGGGGTCAACTTCAGAGTAGGTACTCCCTAAACGACTGTGGATATATTTATTATTTCTTTGAGAGCCCCTGATGTCTCAATTTCCTCAGGGCTAATCAAGAGCTCTTGATGGGAAGGGTTTGCTCTCCTATGGGTACTGAGAATTGGTGACTCTTATCAGGGAAAGGAGTTCTCTGAGATGCCCCAGGGATGACAAAATGTTTGATTTGGGGGAGCCTTGATTTCTAAAGTCACCCCAGACCATTCCTCACTCCCTCACCCACCAAGTTGCCCTTGGACTTAGAGGAGCCAGTGTGGAGGTGGAGCAGATTGGCCATGTGCTATAGTAACTGTTTCCTACAGGTAACCTTTTCTATAAAAAGGGGGCCAGTGCTTTTTGGCTGTAAGCTCTTGTGTGGCACCATGGTCCCCTTGTCTGCTTCTAAAGCTCTGGCATCTGTAGATCAGAGTAGCATCTGCTGGCTTTCTGGTCAAAGAAGTGTGGGGGAAGGGAGTGGAGGTGTTTGCCATGAACAATTTCCATTATTCAAAAAGTCTAGTAGGTGTTATACATTTATCCCAAATAAGGCTGTGCAGTAAAGTTTTTTTGTTTTTGTCTGAAATTCTAACAAGTTAGTATATTACTCCTTTGGTTATGTCCATTATGATAAGTAGATTATGAAGATGGTGTGTGTCTTTGATCACAAAACCAAAAACCAAATTATTCAGTGCATGTAAATGCATTTTGTTTGGTTGATAAAATCTTCCAAAATGGTGTCGCTGGGGAAGAATCTCTCCAAGGCGACTGCAGAGTTGGAAATATTGAGAACTGCTGACCTGGTATGTGTTGCCCCAGCTCTGTGTGCTACACCTTGGCAACTGTCGCCAACCACAATCTCCTCTCAGACAGACTTGTAGAGGAGAACTTCTGAGGGTGGACCATTGTTTTTATATGCACCTCTGAACACCCCAAGAAGAAAGTCCAGAAAATTCAGAGCTGAGAATTGAAGACTATGGATTAACAGAACCTCGAGCTGGGCCTTCTCCTTGCCTTTCTCTCCCCTCCTCTAGCCTCCAACTTCCTTCTATTAATTGTTTCCCTTTCAAGGAAGAATGAAAGGTTTAAAGAGTAAGGGAGGGGAAGAAGGAAGAGCTGGCGACAGTCAGTAGGTCTGAGTAAGTGGGGATGATGGGAGAGCCAGAATCCCTAATCCTTCCTGGCTTCATCTCCTCTAACTACCTCTGCTCTGGTTTAGTGAGCTCTCCCACCTTTCACTCACCACCCTATATCACTTCTGGGTTTCAGCCCCATGCCCTCTCCAGCTGTGTGAAGTGTAAGAATTGTCAAGATGTAAATATTTGGATTCTTCTGTATAATAAAGCACCAGTGAAGTACCACGTGTGTCCCTCAGCTCCTTTCTGCTGCTTTGGTGGAGCCACGGGAGTGGCCAGAGGTGGGGCTGCTTTGAAGGAGGGGTGATCAAAGTATCAAGGCTCTTCCTTAACCTGTCTTCTGATTTCTGGGCCATAGCTGAGGGGTCTTAGGGTTGAAATTTGGCATTGGAATCAATTTCATTCACCCATATTGAAGTACCCTTTGTGTGCTTAGCACTGGGTTAGACACAGAATAGTCTAAAGGAAGCAGTAAGCAGGTTGGGCTTTCTATTACTCAGACCCTGAACACCTTCTCAAACCCAACCCTACTACTGGGGTTTCCAGATAGCATATACCCCAAAGAATCAGCTTGCTTTCCTCTCCTTGGATGAATTTCCTTACCCACTCTCTGCCTTGGGACTCTTTCCTCCCAAGCCTTGCTTCAGAATGTGATGATGCCCCTAAGACAACCAGGCAGCCCCTTCTCAAGGTAAGAGAAAGAAATTGAGTTCAACAAAAACCTGTCATCATGGGGAAGAGATGCCAGCCCTGGAAAGGTATCAAGTCCTTACTGGCCCAGTGCCTGACCCCTTTTTGAGAGGGCAGGTGGTGCCTTCATGAACATCTGTCCTGTTCTTGATGAAAGAGCATTTCAAACGCCTCTATCCTGGCCCAACTGCAGGGAAGGTACCATTTCCTCAGCTGCTGTTAGACTGGATTAAGATAAACACAGGGGCTAACTCAAGTGCATAAGTGCATGTTTCTTGAGAGGATATGTGTGGAGCAATAAGGGAGGCAGAACCTTAGCAAATCCAAGACCAGAAAGAACAGCGCGGCTGGACCTTGTGGTGTCTGAAACCAGAGGTTCTGAAACCAGATCCTCAGGCAACCACTCCCACTGCCATCTACTGTATACAGTTCAGGTGGGGTTGACCCCACGCCGGCTCCCAGAGAAAGGAATGTGACCAGGTCTTACCAGCTTATTCTAGTCCCTGGCCACAGTGATTGGCCCAAGGATGGGCTTATTTCTCAAGTCCTTTTAATGAGCCCCTATTTGGGGACTTTGGTGGAGCTGACAGGAAAGAAGTACTCTTTCACTGGAGTTGCTGGACTGGTAGGATGTAGAGCTACTGGAGTCTATCTTGCCACTTGGAGAGAAATGAATCCTGATGGCATTATTTGAGCATCTGCATCTAGCCATGCAGGAAAGTATATCTGGACTTCTCGGGTTGACTTCTATGTCACATGCATGGAGAAGACAGGCTTCTTCCTCTCTGCATCGCCCTATACCTGATGCCCCAGGAGTAAACACACTGACCTCTTATCAACTGTTGGAGTGGAAGGGGACAGTTATTGAATGGGAATTTTGACAAGCAGGGAAGACTGTCAGAAGGACTGTCAGGATGGCATCAGCTGGGCATGGTGGACCTGGGTGGGAGGTCGCTAGGGCAAGAGAATTCTGAAAGAGTGAGGAGAATGGAAAGCAAAGATGAGAAAGCAACTGAGACCAGCCTGATTTACTTCATCACTGAACCTGAGATCCACAGGCTCTGTCCTTGGCCCTTGAATTGGGCAGGTAGTTTCAGAATTGCAGAACTGCCAAGTGTCGGCTTTGGGAGGAAGCTTAGAGAGCATCTAAGTCATGTCCCTCATTTTACAGAGGAGGAAACCAAAGGGGAGGAACTTGTCCATTATCCCACAGCTACTCTGTGGAGACAGATATGTAAGTATTAGAACAGAATCCATACAATTGATAAATAAGATTCTAGAGTCAGGCCTGGGTTTGAATCCCAGATTTGCCATTCATCCTTAGGTTTTATTTAATTTCTTGAGTCTTAGTTTCATCATCATCAGTAAAATGGGCCTAATAATAGTACCTAAACTCTATAAAAAGTATTTCAAAAGACTTTTCATGTAAAGAGTTTAGTGCCTCAAAATAACTGAGGTCCAGAAGAACCCAGAGACTTAAGAACTCACCCCTAGAGAAAGTTGCCTCTCAAGGGAGATTTGAGGAAAGGAAACCTCAAAGCAGACCTTTTCTGAAGGACAGTTTCAGGGTCCCGATTAAAGGAGGAAGGCAATGGAAGGAAGGGGACACAGTTTAGTGGGATGTGGGTCAGAGGAAAGGTGAGGAAAACAAGCACATGAAGGGGAGAAATCCTGAAGTCAGGGTGGAAGGGACGGTGGGATGAGACACACTCTGGATAACCTGCCATCCCTGTTATAGACTAAGAGTTGGAGGGAGGGTTGGATGCTCTCTGGGGGCCATGACAGGAGGCAGGGGTGACTTGCCAAGAAGAAAGTGGAATGCATCGTTTCTGTACATAGCACTTCTGCGTCCATCACCCTGCCCTCTCCCGGGCTTCGCTGGCAGCCCGGTGCAGTCCAGGACTGCAAGATGCCTTGCAGCCAGCCATCCTGAGGAGCAGGTTCTGAAACCACAGCCCCCTGCCCCTTGTCCTTCCCTCCCTCAGGCTGCCCCAACCTAAACAAGACAACCTGGGCAGGGGGGCAACACGCTGATGGAAAAATACACACTTGGCTGGAAAAGGAGCTTTATTTGTATGTGTTGAATTCCCGCAGCAGCTGAAGGATAAATAGCTCATTACAGCCTCTGCCCACAAGGTGGGTGGTAAAATCTGTTCTTATTTAAATTGCTTTTGGGGAGAGGTGGAGGGGGGGATTGGGGCAGCAGGGGAGGGGAACTTGGAATCTGCTATGTTTACATGATCAGTCATGGATGTCATCTCTCTTTAATTAGGGGTTTGGAGTTGAGAAACTTTGCTCAGCTTGCTTATCCCAGGAACAGACCAGATTAGCAAATAGGCAGTGGGCAGAGCAGCTCCTTAAGGCCACCTATCGTTGGATCACTGTATCCATCCCCTGCTAAGCACTCAGTGTCAGCACTGTGCCAGGCCCTGAACTGGGTGCTTTACATGCATAATTGCATTCAAATTTCATGAGTTAAGTACTATCATTATACTCATTTTACAGATGCAAAAACCAAAAAATAGATTGTATAGACCACCAACGTCACACAATTGGTAAGCAGCACTCCCAGGGCTAGAACCGGGTCTTCTTGACCAAAGACCATGCTTCTAGCCCTTCCATTTTTCCCTGGGGAGTAGGGACCTGGGCTTTTCTAATCCTCAGGCACATCACTTCTGTTCTCTAGCCCGAGTCCTCTGTATTTAAGACAGAGAGGGATGGATGACTTTTAATAATTTTCAGTTTTGGTATTTCTTGTGATTCAAGGGAAAAGTCCCTACAGTCACCATATGCCCAGCACAAGGAAACAAGAAAGAAGGCTGTAGCTATACTGCACGTGAGATGACGGCAGCTTAAACTAGACTGTTAGAGATGGAGGGACAGAGAAGTAGCTCTTTCCAGATTTGGAAAGAGATTAGGTGTGTAGGGGGGTTTTTCCGGTAGGAGGTATTCTTTTCCTACAAATATTCCCCAAGTTCATCTCTCACTTCAGGTCTGGGTTAACCCAGACCAATGAGCACATGGCATTTCCCTGGTCACAGTGATTGTTTTCAGGGTGGTTCAATGACAGGGACTTTTGTTACTTGGAAAGTAGAGCCCTCTGTCCTGCTAGATGTGGATAAAAAGGTATAAAACCATGCCTGCTGCTTGTCGTCACACTAGGAGGGAAAGAAACTTGGGAACAGCCTAAGAGAAAGCTGATGCTATGGATGGCAGATGGAAAAAGACAAGATCTTGATATTATTGAGCCGTTGAATTCATCAATAAATGTTCACTCTACCCCTGGACTTTCCATTTATTAAGGCAATAAACTTTATTATTGCCAGTCTTAGATTTCACTCACAACTGAAATCATCCTAACTAATATACTAATGGCATCTAGGAATCCCAAATCTGGCTTCTGTATGCATGAGTATAGGAGATAAGCCTAGAATAAAATTAATGCCTGGGATTTAAAAAGAGAAGAGTAACTGATTTTGAAAAGTAGATTCAAAAATTCTGTAGAAGGCCAGGTGAGGTGGCTCACACCTGCCTGTAATCCTAGCACTCTGGGAGGCCAAGGCAGGAGGATTGCTCAAGGTCAGGAATTCAAAACCAGCCTGAGCAAGAGTGAGACCCTGTCTTTACTAAAAAAAAAAAAGAAATTAATTGGCCAACTAAAATGTATATGGAAAAAATTAGCTGGGCATGGTGGCGCATGCCTGTAGTCCTAGCTACTCAGGAGGCTGAGGTAGAAGGATTGCTTGAGCCCAGGAGTTTGAGGTTGCTGTGAGCTAGGCTAACACCACGGCACTCTAGCCCGGGCAACAGAGTAAGATTCTCTCTCTCTCAAAAAAAAAAAATTCTGTAGAAGTTAGAAACTTATATTTTCAGCTTATGCTATCACCCGTCACTAATGGATTATATATTCACATTTCTTATCTTCTTTGCATGAGTCCAAATACTATTAATGCTATATATGTGCTGGTACAAGGTAATTCATAGGTAGATGAATGGAAATTGCCTATTCAGATGCATTTTCTGTGCATGGTGCCTAGCCTAGGTATAAAATCATCGTTGCTGCATTGGGATATGGACAGTGACATCACACCCACATTTCTCTGCTGGAGCAGGTCTAATATCTACATTCCTCAAACAATCTCTTCTAACTTCAGCTGATTTCTGCTCAAATCTATTATCTCTGTCATTTAAACAGAATTATAAGGACTAGTCAAGTGTATTATAAAATTATACGGAGGTTATTCAAGTTTGGCACTTATTGTTCAGAGTAGTACTTGTCATGAAATGATGCTAGGAAAAGGAAGGGATTGTAACTATCCCTATTTAAATTAATCCCATGTCTGATTTTCTCACCATTACACTCTCAAACACTAGCACAATATAGTACAATACATACAACATGTCACACAGCAGGTGTTCAACTAATAGTTTGAACAAATGAAAGTTATACCACAGTAATTCTGATCAGCTATCTACATCACAAAAAATACAAGTTGTAAAAAAAAATAGAAAATTAACAAAAAGGCATATTATCTTCTTCTCATATTTATTTGAAGACTTCTAAAAACCTAGAATCCCATGGGTAATTGAATTGTTCCTAACAGCTATTTTACATTTATGTCAAGCATTCAGTGTCCCTAGTGATGGTGGTAAGTTGAAAATAAAGGACAGCAATTCCAAATATTTTAACATTCTGATTATATAGTTCTCTGGCCAGTTCACTCCCAGAAACACATTCAGGATAAACATACTCAACATTAAATGATTATTTATTTTTCAGGTTTAAAAGGTTTCAAATACATATGTACAAGATAAATAAAACAGACTATACTCAGAATTACTGTAGAGCAGAATACATAAATATACAAGGTTTTTTATAGTACACAAAAATTATAATGTCATCAAATACAAATAAAAACATTCAAGAAAGGTAGGAAAATTAGACCACCTTGGCAAAGGATATATTAACTAAGATGGACCAGGACAAACCCCCTAAACATCGGGATGAAATTTCTTTTCTATGCTTCCTAGCTGCCTGGCTTTTCTTTTTTGCTTTGAGTTGTGTATTTCAGAGTCACCAGCCTCTGGAAGATTATCCAGCATGTCTTCCTCATCAGCCTAAAATAGGGTGGAGGAGTTAGGGTGAAATACAACAAAGTTCTCACAAATGTCGAGATAGAAAAAAATGAAGCTCTGTATTTCCAGGTACTTCTTTGCTGGAAGATTTATATATTATATTGTGCATATGATATCCCCTCCAAAAGCATCTTCTATGTTTTAATTTTTATTTCTTTTCACAAGCAACATAACTATTTAACTTAATCAGAATCTGAATATCATATCTCAGTAAAAACTAGGATGTGCTAATCTCCATGTTTCTGCAATTTGTATTTTTTTAAATGAGGAAATTCTATCAACTTCAACTGGGAAGTTTTTTCCTTTTCCCTTTGTCCATGAATGGTCCCATAAGACATGTAAGTTTCCTTCTTGCTATTTCTGAAACAAGTCCATGCAAATATAGTCCCTTCTCAGTGTCAAAAAGGACAACTTAGAAGAAAAGAATCTGACTCACCACATCTCCCTGCTACCCTGAAGAATATTTAAAAACCATTAACCAGATGCTGCCTGCCCTCTAGTGTTGCCAGCAAATGACAACACTAGGAAAAATCTATGTTGGTTGAGCTACTGGGCTATTTTGCTGAATGAATAATTATTTAGAAGGTTGCAATAGGAGAAAAAGATCAGTCATTCTAGAGCACAGTACAAATGTGGCAACTCTAATAAACATTACTTATACAGAGAAAGATACATATACACTTAATGAACTGACAATAAGTAGCAAATATCATACCTTCTGTTTCTGTCTTGCATGCTTCTCTGTCCACTCCCTGGCATTCTTGAGGAAGAGTGGCTTATTATATTTAAATTCTGAGGACTAAGATGAAATCAAAGAAAAGAGTTAATGGAGAAAAAAAATGGTTTACAGAGATAAGCTACTGCTGCAGCTATCCTCACACATAGAGTATAAAAGGTATAGAGAAAGCAGGATTTGTGTTGCTGAGGAAATGGGGATACTTACTATGTCAGCCATGAGAGGGTCATCAGGGTTGGGTTCCGACATGAGCAGCTGAATAGAGGTCAACACAGTTGCGATGTTGAGGGACGGTCTCCAGGCACCCTGTACACAGACAGACAAACAGGTGCTTGTATGTTATAATGTGGTGCTCTAATTCAAGTTTTATAGATGAAGGAAACAGAATGCCAGAGTCAACCCTTTATCCACAACTCACTTTTGGTGGCAATTTGAGAATATCTAGACAAATCCTTCCAGCAGAATCAATGTTTGGATGATAAATTGGAGTGAGAAATCGGATCTGAGGAGGTTCAAATGGATACCTATGAATGCAAAGAATAGAGAATTTCCATTATAATATTCCTTCCTAATACATTTTAAAGTTTCCTAGTCACTAATACATTAAAAAAAATCATGTTGGTATTATAGAAATATCAGGAAGATTGCCTTTGGGAAGCAAATCTCTCTTCCTAAATTTTTATTATGAAAAATTATAAAAAATCAGAAAAGCTGAAATAATAGTATTAAAAACCCCCATATACCCACCAACTGGATTCAAATCACGTCACCTTCTAATATTTCAGCATGTATCTCTTAAGAAGAAGGACATTTTCCTATATAACTGCAATACTATTATACTTATGGCAAATTTTAAAAATAATTCCCCAATATCATTTACTATTCAGACTTCCTCAATTGTTCCCCCTGCTATTTTTACAGCTAGCTTTTTTCACAATAGAATCCAATTAAGATTTATATGTTGCATTTGGTTATTATGTCTCTTTAGTGAGACACAGCTTTGGGAAGTTTCCAGTCTATTTTCAGAACTGATGTACCACATAATTATTAAGCTATTCCCTCAAGATTTTAACAACTTTGGCCAGGCTCTCACCTGATGATTAGATGTCTACATTTCAATAGTTAGATATTCATTTCTTCCCTTCTCCATTCTGTACTAAAATACAACAACTATAACTTAGCTGATGAGAGCTTTAAAGGAGGCTTTAATTAAAAGCAGCCTTAACATTCAGAAAGAAAGTAGAATGGTGGCTGCCAGGGGGTGGGGGCAGGGCAAAATGAGGAGTTATTGTTTGATGGGTGTGAAGTTTCTGTTTGGGAAGATGAAAAAGTTTTGGAGATAGATGGTAGTGATCGTTACATGATCATGTAAATGTATTTAATGCCAGCAAACTGATACAACCAGTAAGATGTGCAACGTTTGGGGGATGGACACACTTAAAAGCTCTGACTCAAGGGGGGAGGGGGAACATGGGCAATACACGTAACCTTAACACTTGTACCCCCATAATACGCTAAAATAAAAACAAATGGTTAGAATGGTCAATTTTCTATCTATTTTACCACAATTTAAAAAATGGGGGGCCTTTGATGTGATCTAATCCATTATTCTAGAGAAGAAAACAGAACTCCAGAGAGATAAAATAACTTGTCCAAGGTCACATTAAGTCATGACAAGACTAGAATTAAAACCCAGGTCCTGGGCTGGGCCTAGTGGCTCATGCCTGTAATTCTAGCGTTTTGGGAGGCCCAGGCAGAGGAGGATTACTTGCGGTCAGGAGTTTGAGACCAGCCTGAGCAAGAGCAAGACCCTGTCTCTACCAAAAAAAGAAAAATTAGCCAGGCATAGTGGAGCACACTTGTAATCCCAGCTACTTGGGAGGCTGAGGCAAGAGGATCGCTTGAGCCCAGGAGTTTGAAGTTGCAGTGAGCTATGGTGACATCACTGCAACTCTAGCCTGAGTGACAGAGCAAGACCCTATCTCAAAAAAACCAAACCAAAACCAAAACAAACATACAAAAAACCCCCAGGTCCTTTAACCCCTACATTTAATGCTCTATCTTCTACATTGCTCTATCTTCTAATAACTGCATTTTACTCTGCAGATTGAGGATCTAATTCATACTAACCTCTCAGGAATGGTAACTTCCAGCTTGAAAACACCTTTTTCATAAGGTGTGTTGGCCCCACCTAATATTTCTTAAAAGAAAAAAAAAGGGGGGGGGGAATAAAGAGAATCAGATGATTTGAATTATTATACCATATGGACCTAATGAGGTCTATGATTCTAACAGGGAAACTAAGTCTAGGACAATAATTCTCTCTCAGGATTTTAACAAGTACTCATGCAATGCACCACGCTGACGATATACCCAAAAAGTTGATGGTGTCAAACAAAGGACGAATAGAAGATCTAAAACAGAAATTGCAAAATGTTGGCCACAAGACCAAATACAACATACAGATTTGCTTTGTTTGTATTGCAGTATTTTAATCATGCATGTTTCCTATCTAGCCTCACAGATATTTGAGATGGTGATCTTTGGTCTAAGCACTGCTTCACTGTTTTAAATCTTGCCTATAAATCAGCAAAACGTATGATAAAAAGCCAAAGAAACAAGAAATGTCAAACAAACCTTTTATGAATGTAAACAAATAAGGGTAGAAAGACGGGAGGACACTTTAACCTTGTAATTGCTACCTACTTTAGAAGAATATACCAATGTTTGCAGTTCAGCATAACCTTCGATACGGCCATGACTCTCACAGGCATGACAGGATACCTACGAGCTCGCAGATCATCCATTTGGTCTTTATCTTGCCAGCACGTGATGCCTGGGGGTGGCTCTGTGGCTAACATGTGCAGCTCTCTCTTCAGACGTGAAGCTCTCTGCATGATACCCAAGGAAAAGGAACCACAGTTCACTGCTCCACACTAAGATGCACTGGAGGAGAAAAGAAGTAACCATGAAGCAGTCAGCCATAGTGACTGTGGAGTTTTCAGCACACAGCTTCAATTCAGTGAAGAACAGATTCCTCATATTAATCTCTATGAGGGAATCTGACAAGGAAATCTGAGTTTTTTTCATCTCCTTCTTGTGAACATGATCTACTCAAGCAAATACAATTTTAAAGTAAATAATAAAAATGTAAAAAGCTCTACAAAACACAAAAATGTTGCAGGTTTAAAATTGATGTGGGGTGTTTCCATTGATAAAGTATAAACTCGTGAGGGCAGGGCCTGGGTCTGATTTTGCTCACCACTATATCCTCAATATGGCTCCCACTGTAAGGGGCTTGACAAACACTAGCTGTGCGAGGAAATCTACAAGAGCTTTGTGAGAGTAGGACTGATACAGAGACCGTCAATACTGAGATATTTATAAGCCAATGATAAATGTCTGAGGCTCTCTCCATGTATTATGGATTCCACATCCTCCAAATTCTTCAGGGATGACACTCCATCAATTATTCTGTCTTTCTCTAGTATTCCCAATCTTTCCTTTTTATTAATCAGCACTCAAAGCCTCTCTCATCTAAAACAAACACCCACACACATATCCATTCAACACCCTTCTCAACTCTAGTACTCTAACTACGAACCAAAGGATACCAATTCTTCCATATGTGTTACAAATATCCCCCAGTTTGTGACTTGTCCTTCTACTTTATTTATGGTGTCTCTTGATGAACACACACTCATACTGTAATCAATTTTTAAATCTTTTCCTTTACATTTGTACTTTCTGTATATTAAATTTTTCCTTATCCCCAAATTTAAAGAAATTTTCCTCTATATTCTTCAAATTATTTTCTAGTTTTGCTTTTCACATTTAAACATTTAAGCCATTAGTAATGGATTTTTGTATATAGTGAATTAGGTAGAGAGTCTTACTTTAATTTTTTTCCTTTATGAATAACCAATTGTCCTGGTACCACTTATTGAAAAAGTTCATCCTTTCCCTGCTATTACCATAAATTAAATTTCCATAGATGTGTGGATTTGTTTAAGGACTCTTACATTTGTTCCATTGGTCACCTAAATTATTTTTGAACCAATATCCCACAGTTAATTTTTCATTATTTATTTAAATTTTTTCTAGTAGATCCAGGTGCAGACCATAAAAATAAATAAAGAAATTTTTTCGGGCGATTTCCAGGGCCCCCGCTCTTGGGGCCCCAGAACCTCGTCCACTAAATAAAAAATAATAAAAAAAATAAAATAAAAAAAAAATAAAAAAAAAAAGAAATTTTTTCTAGCTTTATTGAGGCATAACTGGTAAACAAAAAAATGTATATTTTTTTCACCCAACTGATTCTAAAAAAATAAAAAAAACACAATAAAACAAAAATTGTATATATTTAAGGTGTACAACATAATGTTTTATCATAGCTTATCCATCTGTTTTTTTTCTTCAGGAATGTCTTGGTTACTCTTGGCCCTTTATTTTCCCATATAAATATTAGAAATAGTTCTTAAAAGTCCACAAATAAATACTTATATATGTACATATGAAATTACAATCCAAATCACAGAAGGGTTTTGCGATTAAGATTATAATTTCATTGACTCTATAGATCAATTTGGGGAGAACTGATATCTGTATGATATTGAGTCCTAAGATCCATGAACATATGTTTCAGTATTTTTTGATGCTTTCCAAAGGTTTTATAATTTTCTTTATAAAACCTTACCTAATTTTTGTTACATTTATTCCTAAGTACTTTATAGTTTAGTTACACTTTCAAAAACATTATTTTCTATCTATTTCTTACTGGTACATGTAAATATAATTGATTTTTAACCAAAACCTTAATAATGCTAAAAATTAATCTATTTGGGGGGGGCTGGGAGCAGTAATTTACATAGCCAATCATATTATCCCTATAAGATCAGTTTATTCCTTCCCTCCTAATCTTTTTCTGCCTTCTATTCTCACAATAACTTCTAGAACAATGCTGAAGAGCTGACAGCTGGTATTCTTGTCTGATTTCTAACCTTAAAGGGAAAGTTTTCAACGCTATGCTTATCAGTAAGATTGGCCTATAATTCTTTCTAATTTTGTCCTTAATAAGTATCAAGGTTATGCTAGCCTCCTAAAATGAGTTAGGGAGTGCTGTCTCTTTTTTACATATTGCAGATTAGTCTGGGAGATAACCTGTTCTTAGGCTGCCTGGCAGAACTCCACCTAGTCCTGGTGTTTTCATTTTGAGAAAATTTTTAACAACAAATCTCATTTCTTTAAATGTTATAGTATTATTCAAGTTTTTAAAATTTATTCTTGAGTAAATTTTGGCAAGTTTGGCCCTGTGTGGTGGCTTATGCCTGTAATCCTAGCACTCTGGGAGGCCGAGGCGGGAGGATCGCTTTGATGTCAGGAGTTCAAGACCAGCCTGAGCAAGAGCAAGACTCCTGTTTCTACTAAAATAGAAAAAATTAGCCAGAGTGTGGTGTGTGCCTGTAGTCCCAGCTACTTGTGAGGCTGAGGCAAAAGGACTGCTTGAGCCCAGGTGTTTAGAGTTGCTGGGAGCGAGGTGATGCCACGGCACTCTAGCCCAGGCAACAGAGCAAGACTCTGTCTCAAAAATACATAAATAAATAAATAAATAAATAAAAAGTGACCTTTTCCCACAACATCCAACTTGATCTCTCACCGTTTATTCAAAAACATTTATTAAGCCAAGTGTTCACCTAATCAAAAAGAAGTAAAATAAGAAATTTGTCATAAAAGAACTTTCTGCCTAATGGAGCAGACAAGTTATTATGTTTTATTATTGCAGTATTATATGAAGTTATTATAATAAGTTACAGTATTATAATTATTATAATATAGTATTATATTAAGGCAAATTATTATGGTGTCACGGATTTTTGACATTTAATAGGGCTCTACCTTGAGATCTTTTTGAATCTCCAAATTTATTATAGCATTTATTTTTTCTCAAAAAATACCATAAGGCCGGGCACGGTGGCTCATGCCTGTAATCCTAGCACTCTGGGAGGCTGAGGAGGGTGGATTGCTCGAGGTCAAGAGTTCAAAACCAGCCTGAGCAAGAGTGAGACCCCATCTCTACTATAAATAGCCAACTGATATATATATAAAAAATTAGCTGGACATGGTGGCGCATGCCTGTAGTCCCAGCTACTCAGGAGGCTGAGGCAGTAGGATCACTTGAGCCCAGGAGTTTGAGGTTGCTGTGAGCTAGGCTGACGCCACGGCACTCACTCTAGACTGGACAACGAAGAGAGACTCTGTCTCAAAAAAAAAAAAAAAAATTTACCATAAAATATAATTTGGGAATGTGACCTGTTCAGATCCTTAATGTTGCAAGGATATTAAGGATCAAATAAATGCAAGATTTGAAGTCATTTAAGTAGTTATTATTTATATAGCCTACCATTTTTTACTTAAGTGTATCTTTCAAAAATAGTTTCTATTATTGCTGAATAATTATTCCATTTATCTCCTTAATTTTTGCTTAGAATTCTAGGTTTACAGTTCTCTTTCTCTGTTTTTTTTTTTCTTTTGAGACAGAGTCTTGCTCTGTTACCCAGGCTAGAGTGCCATGGTGTCAGCCTAGCTCACAGCAACCTCAAACTCCTGGGCTCAATCAATCCTCCTGCCTCAGCCTCCCAAGTAGCTGGGCCTACAGGCGCAAGCCACCACACCCAGCTAATTTTTCTATTTTAGTAGAGATGGGGTCTCACTCTTGCTCAGGCTGGTCTCAAACAATCCTCCCACCTTGGCCTCCCAGAGTGCTAGGATTACAGGCGTGAGCCACCTCACCACCATGCCCAGCCAGATCTTTACTACTTTCTCAGTAAGCAGATACTGGGAATCAATTATGATCTGCTTCCCCTACGTATGGACTACGAAATCACGGATTCAATCAAGAGCAGTTTGAAAATATTTCAAAAAAAAAAAAAATTGCATCTGTACCTAACACATACTGTACAGACTTTTTTCCATCACTATTCCCTAAACTACACAGTGTGGCAACTATTTACACTGTTTTAGGAATTATAAGTAATCTAGAGATTCTCTGGCTCAAAAGACATCAGAAACTGCTTACGTTTTGGGTATAAAGGTTCTTTACAATCTAGCCCCAATCCCTGTTTTCAGCCTCATAACCAGTAACTACTCCCCACAAGCTTATGCTTCAGCCACACTGACCCCATTTCATGTGCACAGACATGCACTCGTTAAATTACAATTTCTTTTTCTTCTCCAGGAATGCATCCTAATCCTTCACGCCTTTCCAACATCACCCTCTGTGCTTCCACATCCACTTGCATTGTGGATGTGGAATTCATCGTGTTGTAATTCGTCTCTGATAGCTTCTCCTCTTTGGGGCCAATCCCTTGAGAGCAGTCTCTTAGGTTTTTCTCTTTTTTAAATCCAGTCCTGTAGTAAGTTTGAATAATTAACGGACGACACGTGGGTGTGGATCAGATGTCGCAGAAGACAAAAGGGCAGCCTGCGTGCACCCCGCTGCGAGTACGGGACACTTTCGCCTTCTCCACCCACAGTGGCAACTATCCCCCCGTGGAGGCAAAGGTCCTGTGGGAGCCTCCGCTCGACAGCGGCTTTCCCGAGATTCCCCTTCAGAGCCCTCGTTAGGCGGAAACAGGACCCCTTCCCCGCAAGACCCACAGTGACGACCCCCTCCCCGGCACGTGCCCTCAGGCTGGGACCCGATAAACTTCGCTTTCTTACCTGCGTGGAAACACCTCACAACGCAGAGGCGCGGAGACGCGCTGAGGACTCGCGCCTGCGCAAAGCCGAACAATGGGCGTGCCTCCGCTTCCTGCCCTGCAAGGATTGTGATTGGCCCACAGCCATCCCCCGGGCGAGGGACTCAGCTGTCTATTGGCCAGAGCTCTAAACCCGCTTTCACTCCCGCCGCATTCAAAATGGAGCGCGCGCGGGGCGTCGCCTTTCAGCTCCGGGTACCCGGCTGCTCGGCTGCTGTCATGGCTGCGCTACCCCGTGTGACCCCTGTGGTTTCAGGTTCGGTGTCAAGGTCAGCTCTGTTTGGCAGAACAGGGAAGGAGCTGGAACATCACCTCGTAGGAAGAACAATGAAAGGAACCGGAAATAGTTAATCTTGAGCAGGGAAGAGGAGATCGCTATCTCCATTTATTTGAAATATTTTTCACGTCGTTAACTTTTTGGGGCACAATATCGACATGGAAATTTTTAGGACTTCAGAGGACACATCTAAGACCAATGGATGAGAGTTTAAGAGATACAAATTTGGCTCAATAAAGCATTCTATTAATTAGAACTCTGAAGAACAGAGTAGGTAAACTTGGGAGGTAGTGAATTCTTCCATCACTGGAAGTGTTCTAGTGGAAGTTAAGTAATCATTTGTCAGGGATAGTGCCCGAGGGATCCTCCCATTGGGTGGAATTTGGAATGGATGACTTTTAAGCCATCTTCCAACTCTGAAAGTATGGAACTTTCCGACCAAGGACGTACCTATCTGTTTATAGCTAAGCCAGCCTTGACTTCTCAGAGCTGCCTCTGCCAGAGATGAATGCTCCATGAGAGCTAAAGTATGGCTCAGACTTTATTTGAATTGGAAGGAAATGGCTGGAACTTGACTTGCCTTTGGCAATAACTGTGGGTGGAGAAAAAAACAACCATCATGTCACTGCTCTTAGCTCACTGTGTAGCTTTGGAACAGTGGTGGCATAGGAGTAATGATCAATCTCTTTCTAAACTTGTAGAGCACTATTGGCCACTGCAGTGATTTCTACATTTAGTCCAAATTGATGTTAAGAAGCAACTGGTTCCCCGTAACTATTGCATGGTATGTTTTCTCTCCCCAGGAGACCCACACATTCCCTAGGATTCTGTGATTCTACCCCGGGGGTTCCTCACCTTAGTTGAAGGAATAAACCAACTAAAGTAGGTAATCAATTATTATGAAATAAACACAATGAGGCCTGGCACAGTGACTCACGCCTATAATCTAGCACTCTGGGAGGCTGAGGTGGGAGAATCACTTGAAGTTAGGAGTTCTAGGCCAGCCTGAGCAAAACTGAGACCCCCATCTCTACAGAAATAAAAAAATTAGCCAGGCATGGTGGCAGGTGACTGTAGTTCCAACTACTCAGGAGGCTGAGGCAAGAGGATCGCTTGAGCCCAGGAATTTGAGGTTGCAGTGAGCTATGGTGATACCACTGCACTCTAGCTTAGGTGACAGAGTGAGACCTTGTCTCAAAAAAAAAAAAAAAGCAAGAACTGTATTGAGTCTGGTGGAAAGGATAGATGGTATGATAAAACAAGTAAACAAGTAAATACTTATAGTTTTGGCAACAGAAAGGAAAGGAGGAAGTCAGGGAAAGAAAAGGAAAGACAAGGAGGTTGGAAGGGAAAAGGAAGAAAGGAAGGGAAGAAGGAAAGGGGGAAGGAAGAAAAGAAATAAAAGGAAAGAAAAAAGAAAGAACCCCTTGCACTAAGTGTATAGTTTCCATTTGTCCACCAGAGGGAGATATGTTAACTGATGGGAATAGAGAGAGGCCAGGCTAAAAGAGTTTCATAAACTGTCCACAGGTGTCATTGCTTTTAAAAAAAGAATATTCTAATATAACAAGTTTTAAAGATGTAGCTATGCAAATTATTATTTTATGAGTTTCTTCAATTTATATAAGAAAGCATTATATCAGGCTCATTTAGTACATGTAAAAGTACAAAAATTGTATTTTATTTGTACACAGGATTATGTGTTAGGATTTACTCACATATATATATAAATATATTTTATTTAGGAAATTTAAAGTACTATACTTGTTTAATTAGCTGATTGTATAAGTTTATTCTCAGAGTGCCTTGGTTGGAGGAATATGTTTCAGAAAAAACCTTAGATAATTTTAACTTTGAAAACCTTTTCAAATTATAGGTAGATGAATGTTTTTGTGGGGTTTTTTGCTGAGCCTGTTAAATTAATTAGATTTTAATAATTATACTGCTTTCAGTAAACACATAGCTGGAAGATGCATGCCTCTCTTTCCAGGTAGGTATATACTTAAATTATCCAAGGAAACTTACCTACCTATACTTTTCTGTAAAATCTCAAGGGGGTATAACAATTTTACCATTACAGGAAAAAAAGAAAAACAGAAAAGAAAGGAAAAGAAAAGAAGCAAATAAAATTAGGTATAGTAAAAGGAAGTACTTTCTACTTCCTGGAACTTCCTAGTATTGAAACTGAATTCTTTCTGTTGAAATTTAAACTCATAGAAAGTAAGGATTTAACTTGGACTCAGTCAATTTTATTTTTTTACACAACCAGATATTTCTTGTTTCCTGATTCTGAATGCAAAATGAATATTGCTAAAAGAAATGTAACATTATTGATCCCTGAAAAATTTACCTCAGTTTAAAAATCCCTTTGCTATAAATATTTAAGTTTAAATATAAAATAGCTTTATATTTTACTGAAGAACAGTATGTCAAAATATAAAGTTAAGTTTTATATATGTACATATATATTGAATAGTTATCATATACTAGCAACATAATATTAAAATGGTACACAGTGATGTCAATAGGGTTAGGCTTCTAGCTAAGAATTCTTTCCTATGTGATTTAACATCAATTTTTCTTTTGTCCTTTAGAGACTGTGTTATTTGGGAGCTTGTAGGCAATTTTAATTATCAGCAAGAGGCTGAGTTGGAATAAGATGAGGTTCCATGTTGATAAGTTACAAAGTAAATCTCATAAAGAATTTTTAATTGCAATAAATGATGAGACATGACAAGTCCCATGGTGACTGTACATAAATGCATGTAGCAAGGAAAACAAGGTTATAGAATATGTATTAATATTATTACACCTTGACTATTGTTAGGTAGATTGTTATTCATAGTTCACAAATATGCTGAAAGGCTTAATGGTATTTAAAATGTATGATTTAAGAATATCCAACTAAAGCATATGGTGGATAGACACAGTATTATTCAATATACATTCAATATAATAATAGTTTGCATTTATATGTCACTTTTCATTTGAAGCTCTTAATTTATTGATTCATTGATTTCCTCAATGTATAAGACTTCCAGTTCCTTTCAGAGGAAATGGAGGAACAGGCAAATGTTTACATAATAGAATATAATAAAGTTTCCCTTTACAATACCCTAATCATTTTACAACACTTTTTTTTTTTTTTTTCCCAGGCTAGAGTGAGTGCCGCGGTGTCAGCCTAGCTCACAGCAACCTCAAACTCCTGGGCTCAGACGATCCTCCTGCCTCAGCCTCCCAAGTAGCTGGGACTACAGGCATGCGCCACCATGCCCGGCTAATTTTTTCTATATATATTAGTTGGCCAATTAATTTCTTTCTATTGATAGTAGAGACGGGGTCTCGCTCTTGCTCAGGCTGGTTCGAACTCCTGACCTCGAGCAATCCGCCCGCCTCCGTCTCCCACAGTGCTAGGATGACAGGCGTGAGCCACCGCGCCCGGCCCATTTTACAACACTTTTTAATGAAAAATTTCAAACATACAGAAAAGTTTAAAGAATCTAATACTTGTATGTGTTCTCTTTCATTATGGATAAAACATTTAATTATATTTTGTCCAGGGCTATGGTCTTGGAGGGTACAGCTATTACATCAGTTGAACAGACATATGTTTTATAACCAAATTCATGGTAAATATAAATTTGTCCTACTTGCTGCTGTAGGAGTAAAGTATGCTCCATAGTATCTTTCTCTAGCTTTGAAAAAACATCATGGAAGACAAAACATCCATACTGTCATGTAAGAATTTAAGATCCATGAAAAAAGTAGAGGAAGAGGGGAGAGAAGGAAAGGAAATTAATATTTACTGAGAGCCAATATGTGCCAGGGATCATACTAGGCATCCTTGCATATATGATCTCATTTGATACACGCAATTGCCCTGTGAGGTATTATTATTCCAATTTTACACATAAGGCAACAGATTCAGAGAAGTCAAGTAATGTGTCTATGGATGTGAATTCAATTTGCATTCAAAGCTCAGGCTCTTTTCACTTCAGGGGGATGCATCCTTTTCAAGACCAAGAATAAGTGTCCATGTTGAAAGTGTTTATGTAACACACCTCCTACTGTATGTGTATGTATGCTCCTCCTTCCCACGTACATTCACATTTGCACTGTAATTAATGCACATGTTAATAAAACTCCAGATTTAGAACCAGGACATGGATTCGAGTCTCTCGGGTACTTTATGTCAAGTTCTCCCTACTAGAAAATAGAGATAATTACTGCCCCTTTTCACTCTGCAGGACTGATGTAATAACCAGGGAGCTAACATTAGTTAGTAGTCACAAGGAGAATAAACTACGACTCCCAGAATGCTCCGAGTTAGAGGCTGACGCCAGCCCAGGAGACAGTTCCAGCTTTAGGGCAAAGGTGACCCCGCTAGGTCCCGCGGCAAAAGAGGGAGCCGCCGGTCCTCACCCCTTTTCTGATGCATCCAGGGATTTGTAGTTCCCTTTCGGCTACGAAGTGCCCTTAGGGCAGGCCGTGTACTACAAGTCCCGTGATGACCAGAGGCCCGGGCAGCGCCTGCGCATGGGAGCCAAGGGAGCGCATGGGCGGGGCTAGTGGCGGGAGGAGTAAAGATGGCGGCGCGGGGGGTCTCTGCCTCCTGCTCCCGGCTGAGGCGCTCTGAGGGACGCGGCAGCGGTTGCCCTAGCCGCAGCAGCAGTCTAGTCTAGTGCTTATAGTTTCGGCAGCACCGGCCGAGGCCGGAGCAATGGCGGAGCTGGAGCACCTGGGAGGAAAGCGGGCAGAGTCGGCGCGAATGCGGCGGGCGGAGCAGCTCCGGCGCTGGCGGGGCTCATTGACAGAGCAGGAGCCCGCGGAGCGACGAGGCGCGGGGCGGCAGCCGCTGACGAGGCGTGGGAGCCCCAGGGTCCGCTTCGAGGATGGTGCTGTCTTCCTGGCCGCCTGCTCTAGCGGGGACACAGACGAGGTAAAAAAGCTTCTGGCAAGAGGCGCCGACATAAACACGGTCAACGTGGACGGCTTGACAGCCCTTCACCAGGTAACTCCCATCTCCGTCTTACAGGCGTCCCGGTCCCCTGTGACCCCGTGAGCCACCCCGTGGAGAGTGTTAGTGTCGCCTCCGAGCCCTCCTGCAGGGACACTGCCCCTCTGGGCTAGTCGGTTTCGTTCTTGGCCAGCTTCCTCCACTGAACAGGTCTTTTTCTGACCCCAGGGTCTTTCCCTGAAGGAATGGTGTCGCCCTGCAGCCTGGTCAGTGTTTGTATTTCCCTCCACCTACTTGAGTTGTCATGGTTACTGGCGATTTTTGTCTCTGGTGTCCCCATAGATTTAGTTATCTTAACTTATGTCTAGTTGGCGTGCCTGTAAACCACGTCACTCATATGCATGGTGTCGTTTGTCTAATGCCCTTTCAGAAAATTCCGGTGTTTTTTGTTTGTTTGTTTGTTTTTGTGCCCCCATTATAGAATGTCTTAGGTCACTTAAAGAGTAAATCCCTATGCTGGGTTAAGTCAAGCCAGTCCGAAACCACACCTCTTGTTGTGCTGATTTGTGGTGCTTCAAAACAGTTTGTGCCTACTCCTGGGTACCCCAGACCTCATTGCTGTGGGTATCTTATTTTCTTCCCGTCAGTACTACTTTCCTAAGAATTTCCTATGGAGAACTAAACTATTGAATTACCTCTGTTTGATCCTTATGGAACAGCCTTTCTATTTTTCTTTTACTCTAAAGCCCTCTATAGAAATCACATGCCCTATATATAGCTCTAGTATAGGGATTGTGGGTGATCTGTGCTTGGTAATAACACCTTTACTTCTCTCACCTTATGCAACAATGATCTGTATATACTGACTGCCATAACTAAATACACCTTCTTTCCCCAAATGGAACTTCATCCGTTATTTTGGTGAGCTGAGAGCTGGACACCCACTCTTAATCTTTCGTATTTTTCTTCTGCCGTCTGTGCAGAGTGAATGTGTTGGCATGAGAAACTACTTCTAAATAATAATTCAACTTTATGTCAGAGCACTTTCCTAAATATATTTAGCCAGTAACTTAAAATTACTTCTCACCTCATTTGCAACTCTTCTCTTTCAGGTGGAAGAAACTTTTCCTCTTTTCACCCTATTTTGTATCCATTTTTTTCTCATAATAGTGCCTCATAGTGTAGCCAATATTCATAGAGTGCTTTGCTGTTTAGAAATGATTTCATCTCTTACCTCATGCAAGTCTGAGCAGTGGTTCTCTGAAGTACATGTTGTTATTCCCATTTTAGAGATGAGGAGACTGACAATCAGAAAAATTGTTCCTTGTGCAAGATTAGAAAGGAGAGAAGTTGCCCACAGGCATGGATTTTTCAAATTTAAATTGCAGAGCATTGTATCCCACTTAATAAGGAGCTGAATGTAAAATGAGAGAGAAGATAAGAGAACCGCATTCAATTTTAAACTTTTTGAACGGTGAGTTCTTATTTTTCCCATGTATTTGGGATGTGAAGGAGATTGAGCTCTGGATTCTGAAAGAAATTGTTTCATGGGTTTATGGGGATAGAGAAATAGGATCCAGCTCTCTGCTCCTAGCTGTGTACCTTTTTAAAATCACTATTCTATTGAAGCATAGTTTTCTTAGAGTAACTCAGTAGCCTTTTTTTCTTTTAAGGTGATACTGCTAGCTGAGTCTGCTCCTTACCATACACATTTTAATATTGCCCTGAGAAAAGCACCTTCTTTGAGATTACTCATGGTAGATCTCCTTTCCATACCAGGTAACCAATTTTCTGAGCCCTTCTCCTAAGACTGACCACTTTGGTTCTTTTCCTTCTCTCTTCACTGCCACCCTAGATTGTGAAGTGTAACATCTCTCACTTAATATACTCTTCACATTCAGTAATCTCTCGATATAGGAGAAGGGGATGACAGATATGGAATTATTTTTAACATCTTTAAATGCAGTATAGACATTCCTCCCCATTTACAGGGTTAGCAGTGAGTCGAACTGAACACGTGTATTCAATACTAGACAAATTCAGCTTAAGATTAAGCTGCTCAAAGATTTGAGATCTTCTGTTGAGAAACCATCTTTTTGAATCAAGACAAGGGGCCTTTATTGGTTTAGGAACTCTTTTACAATATGTTTCTCCATGGTCTGGTACATAAAAGATTATTTTCCAAATGTAAGCCACCAGTCAGTAGCAGAACCACCAACTTTACAACTGATTCTCCTTTTGTGAAACGGAGAGTGAGTGGTACAGTTATCTGAACTATTTAGTTAAAATATCCATCTATTTTATAAGCATGATATGAATTATTTGGTAGTTGCTTCCTTCTTTCCTTGGTTTCAACCATGGCCACTTAACCACCTGTGGATTATCATCTTGGCATGTTGAAGAAACCCCCAGATTATACTGAGAAATGGTTTTTCTCTCACAAGGTCACAGGAGACAATTTGCACTGCAGGTTGTGCTGCCTTGATGCTACTTTTGACATAGAGACCTTCTTTCTTGGCAGCCTTTGCTGAGACCACGAGGTGCTTGAGTCAAAGATAACAAGCTCCAGGGGGCCTATTAATAAGACTTGAAATAGACTGGGATAAGATGTATCTCAAAGGTTAGACCAGCTCTGATGAAAGCCTTGGAAACTGATACAGACTAAATTTTGGCGACTAAATTAAGATTTGGTGAGTATGCATTTAGTGTCCTAGAGTCCTTAATGAACAAGGTGTTGATCATCGTGATTATATAACTCTTGAAAGCACTTGCTTGCTCACAAAGGAATTTCCATTTCACTTATATATACATATTATAAGGCAGGAATGTGTGTTAATAGTTCTATGTGGGCTGATACCTGTAAAATTTTCTTTATTTATTTAATAAGGTTGATTATTAGCACCTGTCTTGGTATTCTTACCATTGTAATTATGGGTGCTTTAAGCCTAGAAAAGGGCTCTTAGAAACTGTATCAACCAAAGTATTGAACTACTATATGAAGCAGGTGCTTGCTAAAAGAAGAGATTTTTCTAGGATTCGTTAAAGTGAATGCCTGCTTATTCCTTCAGCATGTACTATATTGGCACTTATATCTGTACCAATATATAAGTGCCATAAGAGTTTTGTGAAGGATACTGATAGATCTTGTCTCTAGCCCAGTCTGATCAGTCTTCATTTGGAGGGGTAATGAAGAGATTAGAGTAATTCCGTATTTGACTTAGAAATTCAGGCTGACTTGTAATAGTCTCAAGGGTCCAGATTTGGACCCTTAAAGTACTTCGTCTGAAAATCAGCTTGTTGAATGAGCTTCAGTCATTCTAGCATTGCCTCTGTCTGACCTTGTAGCCTCTAGGAGCTTAGAATTACGTATTTCTCTGGAAGAGACATGAAGACAGGGACAGCTGAGGGGAGGAGGATAGGTGGAGCAATTTAAATTCAGAGTGACAGAAGATGACTAAGATGACTGTGTTCAGTTTAATAAAAAATGGTATGTTTTGTGTGCTAACTTGTAAAATAAAACTTGTGTTCTTAACCCTTTGTCTTTTATTCCAAGTTCATTACTTATTCCTCTCATAGTTCCATCTGTGAAGTTACTTTTGCCTTACCCTGAATAGTAATGAATTCTACATAGTGTCAGGACCCTTGGCAATTCAGGATTCAGGAAATCCTGTAGGCTTCTTCATTATTGTGCATCTAGAAGAGCAGTCATTCATCCTGAGTTGTTCTAGTAGTTTACTTCTTCAGATTGGTTAATATGATACATCAGGCTATGTTGGGCACCTGGCCCCTTGCCATGTATTAGTCCCAAGTTTCCATGTCATAGTGGACCTCAAAGCCCGATTTAGAAGTTAGGCTTTTTTTTTTCCGGAAGTACAGATACAAGTGACTTTAATTTGTTCCCTAGTCAAATTTTCTTCCCCATTCTGAAAGTCTACTGAGTAACCATATACTGCCATTTGGGCTTTTACAATGTTCTTCTCTGTATTTTTAAACAGGCAACCTCTTAGTGTATGTAGATTAAGCACAATTCTGCTGAAGGTTTGGGTGGGACAGGTTTTATTGGCAACTTAAAATTAAGTCATTGTTTATTTTTTCTTTTTAAATATTTAAAAATAGTAATATTTAATATTAAGATATACTTTGTATACAGTGAAATTCACTCTTTTTAGTGTACAGTTCTATGAGTTTTGACAAATGCATACGGTTATAGAACTACCACCATAATCAAAATATAGAACATTACCGTTACCTCCAAGATTCTTTTGTGCTTCTTTGTAGACAACCCCTCTTCCTAACCCCAGCCCGTGGCAGCCATTCATCAAATTTTTTTTCCCCATAACCACAATGCCATATGGATGGACTCATACAGTGTGAAGCCTTTAGAATCTGGCTGCTTTTGTTTACCATATTCCACTGAGATTCATCTATGTTGCTACATGTGTCAATAGTTCATTGGTCTTTATTGCTGAGTGGTATTCCACCATATGGATGTACCACAGTTTGTTTATCCATTCACCAGTTGAAGAACATAGGGGTTATTCCCAGCTTTTTGTAATTATAAAGCTGCTATAAATATTTGCATACCAGTTTTTATATGAACATAATTTCTCATTTCACTTGGTTAAACTTCTAGGAGTGAGATAACTGAGTCATGTGGTAATGAATGTTTAACTTTATAAGAAACTGCCAAAGTGTTTTCCAAAGCGACTCTACCATTTTGCCTTCCAGACAGCAAAGTATGAATTACTGTTGCTTCGCATCCTGTTTTAGTCAGCTTGCACTGCTGTAACAAAATGCCATAAACTGAGTGGCATAAACAACATACATTTATTTATCTCAGTTCTGGAGGGTGGAAGTCCAAGATCAGGATGCCAGCAGGGGTCTTGGTGAGGATCCTTTTCCTAGGTTACAGTCAGCTATCTTCTTGCAATATATAGTCAGTCCTCTATATCTGAGGGTTCTACATAAAATAACAATGTAACAATAAAAATAATATAAATAAAAAATATAGTATAACAATTATTTACATAGCTTTTACATTGTATTAGGTATTA